GCATACAGCGACTAAAAAGCTCCGCTTCCATGCTGGCTGGCTGGCTCTGGAACTTTGCAGACGAGGGACCCAGCTGCAGAAATAGTTATATGACCCAAGTCGGCTACACCACTGTATACAATAGTTCAGATTCAGTGTTGGAAATTAACCAGGCGCGTTTTGCGACTGACGTGGGTCTAATTACGACCATGTGGATGTCAGGTTGGTGACTGCAGAAAGCAAAATTAGAGTTAGAGTTCAGTTAGAGAAGGATCTGAAATATTTTCCTTGAAGCCTGAATTTGTTTTATTCTGGATTGTTTTATTTGATGTATTAATGTGTTGTAAACCACTTTGAGATTTGTTCTTTAACATATAAAGCGGTATAGAAATGAAATCAACAACAACATTCATTTAAAAATGGCGCTTAGACGTTCCATTGTGGTGACCTTAACCTAGGTTTAAGGTGTCATTTGGCGATTGCCGTATTTTTTGCTCTATAAGACTCACTTATTCCCTCCTAAAAAGTAAGGGGAGATGTGTGTGCGTCTTAATGGAGCAAATGCAGGCTGCGCAGCTATCCCAGAAGCCAGAACAGCAAGAGGGATTGCTGCTTTCACTGTGCAGAGATCCCTCTTGCTGTTCTGGCTTCTGAGATTCAGAATATTTTTTTCTTGTTTTCCTCCTCCAAAAACTAGGTGCGTCTTGTGGTCTGGCACGTCTTATAGAGCGAAAAATATGGTAGCTTATATATTGACTGTTTAGATCTATCCTTTTATTTTTAATAATCTGGAGCACTGAGTTACTGCAGACCTGTGCAACTTATGTTTGACCAGCCGTTTACAATGTTCCATTGGGCTGCAGTAAGCCTCCTTTTTTTGACAACTAGCCACATTCAGGTCACGTAATGGATGGGTTGCAGTTGGTTCGCAAGTTGTGCAGGCATGGAGTACAGTACCTCAGGCTTGGGGACACAAGAACCTGCCTGAAAGAGTCAAGGCAATTGGCCCATATACCTCAGCAACTTTCACCTGAACCCCCCCAGATCACTGCCATTCCCCCCCCCCCTGCGAGTAGATTGCAGTCTCTTGGGAGTTGGACACCCTGGTCTAGGCCATTAAAAAAAATAAATTAAGGTTTGTGGCAATGTTGACCACTTGCAGTGGTCTTAATTGGTAGCTGGGTGGTTGTTTTCTGTGTTGCTGTTTTTTAAAAAGCCCCTTTGCATTCACTTTCTGTGGAAGGCAATGTTCACTGGATGCTTTAACCTTAGCATACTTGGGAGAAAACTTCACCAATTTGGATGTGACTTCCAAGTGCACATCTTTTAAAGATTTAAGGAGGTGACTATTTTCCTGGTGGGGCGAGAGTTAATGCTAGTAATAGTCGTTCTCAGCCACATGCCTCCCATTTCCGTGCACCGATGAGTCTAGCTGAACCTGGTGACTTCATCTCCTATGTGATTCCAGCAAATAGCATTAAACTGTGTGATGCCAACAAATAAGCATTGAAAAAATTGGAGGCGGGTGGTGGTGGTGGCGGAATGGGAAGCGGTCAGGGAGAATGTTTATCATGCGTAAACCTATTGATGCTACAGCACACCGTAAGTGATAGCCCTGTTTACTTCGAAGTATGAACCAATATTGTGGTCCAGCTGGCTATGACTTTACATCTCCTGTTCTTTGACTTTTGCTCTTTTGTGTGTATGGGGGGGAGGGAAGGAACATTATTATTTTGGAAGGGGAATCGAGCGAAGCGCAACGCTTTGTAGTGGCAGGAGGCAAGGGTGGCTCAGAACGAGCGGCACGCAGCACACGGCAAACAAACCATTGACCTTCTTGGCTTCTTGCTATCAGCACAATCCTGCCCTTACTACAAAATTCAAAGGGGCTGCTATCTTGTTTTCTAAGTTTCCCAGATAATAAAGAAACTCCTGGGGGGTGGGGGGGAAACTCGTGGCCATTGATATTGCCCTGTGACCTCTGCTCCAGTTGCTTGAGAAACCTGGAGAGCGACCACTCTCACCTCAACTACCTGAGCTGTTTGGAATGGGGAAGCCATGGATTCCCGGTACGCAGGAAGCTTCCCTGTTTGTCCATCTAGCTCAGTCTTGTCAACCCCTGACTGGCAGTGCTTCTCTGTGATTTTGGGCTGGGTTCTCTCAGCCCTACCTCAAGTTGCCAAGGATTGAACCTGGGCCCTTCTGTATGCAAAGCAGATGCTGAACCCCTGATGCTGAACCCCTTTGCCAACATGGGAATGGGAGCTTCTCTACATGTAAAGTGACATCTAGCACTGGGGCCTGGCCCTGATTGTATTTAGGGCCCAACATTCATAGTGGGGTTTGACCTCTTAACTGAGTCCAAGATGTGGGCTGTGCTCTGCAGAGGGTGGTCACAGGGGAGGCCCACACACAGCCCTTACGTGATTGGGAGCAAGCTGTGAGATTGTGGCAGTTCTCCGTCCCTCCATAAACAGTGCTCAAAATCCCTCAGGCACCAGGCATGTTTTGCAACCAGTGCTGGTCCAATTTCAACTGCAAGGAGATTTCTGGGCGCCACATTGGCGACTGACACCTTCATCAAGCCAGATGACTTGTGTGCAGCAAAATATGCGCATCTTGGAACCATGGACCCCTTGCTGTGTACATCTTAGTCTTCCATCATTACATCACAGAAAGTGAGTGCAGGGCTGTGTACAGATATATTTGTGCTGCAGCCTTTTCACCAGCCACCCAAAGGGAACTCACATACCACAGTTTAAAAACCTCTGCCTTAGTCTATAGACTATAGAATTGTAGAGTTGGGAGGGATCTTAAGGGTCATCTAGTCCCAACCCTCATCTCTACTTTAGACCTTGCAAAATTTGACACAAATATATTGTGGCTGGGAGAAGATTTTTGGAAACCCAGAGTTGATTTGCAAGCGAATGAACTTAACCAGAGCAACTTTTTTCTGTTCCCGTTTTTTAAGGAAGCTAAATTTTCATAAAGTCAGAAGGTGAACAGTAACCATTGGAGCGTAGCATGATATTGCAACTGGGGGCACACATTGAACTGGTACTCTCTTGGAAGGGAGAAAATAGCATGCCGGGAAATGGATTAACCAAGGAAATAAATTTATGCTACCTGTTACTAGGACTTGGTGGGTGGGGTGGGGAGAGGGGAATAAAATGGGCAGCAGTTGAATGAGAGGTAGCATGAGAAGTTTAGCCAGTGATCCTGCACAGGGTTGAATAAGACATCTGCTTTCACAGTATTTCTGGACGCCTCAGTAACTAGGCAAATGGGACTTCTGGGCTTGCTTAGAAAGGAACTGGAAGGCTAAAACTGCGGTCTTGCAAATAAAAGGTTTCCACCATTGGTTGAATAGAAATGGGTTGGGAGGGTGAGGAAGAGGTGTGTCTCGCTTCTCCACTAGCAGTAGTGCTGTGTTTATGCATCTTCCTTCAGTGGAACTAACTTCCTCTTTTACAAGTGCCGCAAATAGTGCAGTGTAGTGGTTGGAGCCCAGCCTTAGTACTGGGGAGACCAGGTGCAAATCTTCATAGCACCATCATAATGCTTACTGCACAGCTTTGGGCCTGTCACATGATCTCTACCTTCCTGACAGGGTTGTGAGGATAAAATGGATAGGAAGATAAGCCCACATAATGCCACTCTGGTCTCCTTAGAGGTGAGCTATCAGTGTATTAAATAAATACTTCTCGCTTTTATTTTTTTAAAATGTAAAATGGCTCCTAAGCTTAGAGAAGGGTCACCCACAGTTGGAGATTTCATACTGGAGTGGCTGTATCCGAGTTGAGGGAAAGGTTTGGGCCTGTTTGTTTATGGCATTTATATCCCACCGTTCTTCCACAGAGCTCAGTAGGGCTGGGCGATGCCAGCTTTTCAGCATCGCGCAAAACATTGTGATACAGGAATACATTGCAGTGTTGACAGGCGGAGGGAGGAACAAGCTGTATCGGCTGTGGTCCTGTGAGGCGCCAGGGCAAATCTGCCTCAGCTGCCTCCAGTGCCTGCCACGCAGAAGGTGAAACTGCCACCGCCAGTGCCTGGCTCAGGGAGGAAGGAGGCAGGGGAGAACGTAAGGGACAGGCAATCCCCAGCCATGATATACTGCTGGGCAAAGGCGTCTTCGCTCTCTGGCCCTCAAACCGATCCTGGGCAGTATAGTGGTACCTCGGGTTACAGACGCTTCAGGTTATATACGCTTCAGGTTACAGACTCCGCTAACCCAGGAATAGTACTTTGGGTTAAGAACTTTGCTTCAGGATGAGAACAGAAATCATGCTCCGGGGTTGCGGCAGCAGCAGGAAGCCCCATTAGCTAAAGTGGTGCTTCAGGTTAAGAACAGTTTCAGGTTAAGTACGGACCTCTGGAATGAATTAAGTACTTAAACTGAGGTACCACTGTATATCAATACGTTGCCCAGGCCTAAAGCTTGAGGTGGCATTCATGGCTCTCCCTGTTGCCCCCACAATAGTCCTGTGAAGCAGGTTAGGTTTAGAGCCAATGACTGGCCCAGTGTCGCCCAGTGAGCTTCATGGCTGAGTGGGTATTTGAATTCTGGTCTCCCATATCTTAGTCTAGCACTCCCATTCATTACACCACACAGGCTCTCTGGCTGTTAGAACAAAGCTTGTGTAGATTGGCTCTGCATTTGTTTTTCGTACCTTTTCGTCACCCCTTTCCTGCTTCCACCGGGTACTTGTTCCCAGTTCTTTTGTTTTCTTTCAAATGCCCAGCGATGTGTAATGCTCCAGTCCTCCCAACCCTGCCAACTGTGCCATGAGTGTTGCAAGATTCAACAGGTGGGAGGAGAATCTGGGATCGGCAAAGGCGGTGACGTTCGCTCGGCTCAGTTATCACGCAAGGGCCTCTGCAGGGTGGTGGGGGGGGGGAGGGAATAAGTCAGCATAAGGGAATAAGTCAGACCCTTGGGTCCATCAAGTTCAGTATTGTCTACACTGACTGGCAGCAGCTCTCTGGAGTTTTAAGTAGGGTTTTCTCCCAGTCCTATCTGGAGATGGTGGGGATTGAACCTGGGACCTTCTGCTTGCAAGGCAGATGCTCTACCACTGAGCTACAACCCTTGCCGACTTAATGCGTTGTGCTTGCTCCAGAGCTTCTGTGCCTAGGCTGAAGTGGATGCAGTGGTGGCAGAAGCATCACCAACACCCTTCCAAGGCTGAAAAAATATTCCACCTGGCTGACCCCCTGCAGTTTTGTTACGCAGCTAAGCAGAATAGCTTATGTATTGCAATTATATTTATCCAAGGAGTACATAGTTCACCCCCTCCTCAGTTGATCCCTACAACAACCCTGTGAGGTGGGTTAAGAGGCAGTGACTGGCCCAAGGTCACACAGTGAGATTCATGACTGAGTGGGTATTTGAACCCTGGCCTCCCAGGTCCTAGTCTAACACACTAACCACTACACCACACTGGCTTCCTAGAGTACATCTGCTTTGGGGCAGCTATATGAATTAAGTAGGTAAATAAATATGGGGAAAGCAAAATGTCACTTGGAGAAGGATCTGAAATATTTTCCTTGAAGCTTGAGTTGGTTTTCTTCTGGCTTGTTTTATTTGATGTCTTAATGTGTTGTAGACTGCTTTGAGATTTTTTCTTTAAAATATAATGCAGTATGGAAATGAATACAACAACAACTCCCCCTGAGGGGGAAAAATGGCGCCCGTAACCTAAGTTTAAGGTGCCATTTGGTGATTAGCTTACCGTATAGATCTGAGTTTCTAACACTGCTCAGTATTGTCTACACTGACTGGCAGTAGCTCTCCAGGAGCCCTACCTGGAGATACTGGAGATTGCACCTGGGAGCTTTTGCTTGCAAGGCAGATGCTATGCCACTGAACTGTGGCCCTTATCTCTGGGCGACATTCACACCATACAATTAGTCACTATACAAAAGCTTCCCCCAAAGAGTTCCGGGAGCCGTAGTATGTTAAGGGTGCTGAGGGTTGTTAAGAGACCCACGTTCTCTGCTGCCCTGAGCTACAATTCTTGTACAGTATACCTCGGGTTGCATATGCTTCAAGTTACATATGCTTCAGGTTACAGACTCCACTAACCCAGAAATAGTGCTTCAGGTTAAGAACTTTGCTTCAGGGTAAGAACAGAAATTGGGCTCTGGCGGCACGGCGGCAGCAGGAGGCCCCATTAGCTAAAGTGGTGCTTCAGGTTAAGAACAGTTTCAGGTTAAGAATGGACCTCCAGAACGAATTAAGTACTTAACCCAAGGTACCACTGTAGTTCCCTGGCAAGAGATTGATTGTTAAACCACTTTGGGAATTGTAGCCCTGTGAGGGGAATCAGGCGGTGTCTTAACATCTCTCAGCACTCTTAATGCACAAAAGTTCCCAGAATTCTTTGGGGGAAACCATGGCTATTTTCTAAAGGGCTTTAAATGTAGGTGTGATTGTGGCCAGGGTGGTAGAAGAGACTAGTTTCTCTTGCGAGTGCTCCTGCTTAGTGATGGTGAGCTGTTTGAGCTCTCTCTACTGGTTGCTGGGCCACTCACAAGCACCTTGATTGTGTGAACTGCTTGTTGAAGGCTAGATGGCATTCATAATTTCCCATTTGAATGTGTTCTTGAGCGTACCAAGTCATAAGAGGTTCTGGCAGGGCAATCATTATCTGGATTTGTTGTCTTTTAGAGGTGAGATCGCTGGAGACTTGCATGTTTGGTGGTTACTTATTTTAGATAAATACACAAGTTTATTTATTTCGATTTGTATGCCACTTTCCCATTATAAATGTGCCCGAACAGAAATGCGAATTGGTACATCATTACAGTCTTCTGTTGCACCACGGTTACCCTAACACTGAGCCATGATTCTCCACATAAATTTCCCAAACTGTTATTGCTTTGGGTGCTCCTGCAACAGTCCATTCTCTGTTTATGATATTTTGGGTCCTGGCAAGTTTGGCACCTACAGTGCACACCTAGAATGAGGCTTGTTCCCCCCCCCCCCCACTTCCCTTACAAAGGAGTGATTTTTTAAAATAAAGTGCCGCATATTGCTGAGGTCTCTGTTTGTACCATGACCCCACTCTACCACTCCAGCAACAATGGAATTCCAATAAGGAGTGGAATATTTTTAACTTTGTATGCAACAGTGGAAAGTCGATCTAGTTGATTGGAAGTTCCTGCTTAGGAAACTCTTGTAACATACACAAATGGCTCCTTGAGGATTGGGGTGTGTGTGTGTGTGTGTGTGTGTGTGTCCTTTTACTATGTTTTTATATACAGTGGTACCTCGGGTTACATACGCTTCAGGTTTCAGACTCCGCTAATCCAGAAACAGTGCTTCAGGTTAAGAACTTTGCTTCAGGATGAGAACAGAAATCGTGCTTCGGCGACACAGCAGCAGCAGGAGGTCCCATTAGCTAAAGTGGTGCTTCAGGTTAAGAACAGTTTCAGGTTAAGTACGGACCTCGGGAATGAATTAAGTACTTAACCTGAGGTACCACTGTATGCTGGAAGCCTCCCAGGTGGCTGGGGCAACCCAGTCAGATGGGTGGGGTATAAATAAAATTTTGCTGTTGTTGTTGTTAGGCCATACAGATATTTTGCCTGAGAGAAATCCTCCTTGTGGTGCAAGGGTTAAGTTTGAGGCTCCACCCCGCGGCTTGCTTAGGTTTGCAAGGGGGGAAATGCAACATGCTTTGAATTTTTGGAATTCCTAACCCTAATAGTTCACTGGATGAAGGAATGGTTTATTCATAAGAGGTGGGGGGGCTCCCTCCCTTTTTGCATTCATCAGACCTCTCTCCACCCCCTTACTTCCTGATGATCTGCTCCCAAGATTTATTGGGGAGGGTCTAAGACTGATTGTTTGTTTCTCTCTTTCATATTGAAAGGCAGCCTTTGAAGCGGCAAAAGCTGTGCTTCCTGTTGCTGTGGCTTGAGGTTACAAAGGGAACAGATCATGGAAGTCTAGTCACTTGCTTGGGCCTTTTTCAGAGGAGATTTTAAAGAGAATCCTTAAAACATACACACAAAGAAACAAACAGGACGGCAGGAAACTTCCTTGCACCAAGGCCAAATGCGCACCATACATTTAAAGCACTATAATACCACATTAAACAGTCAATTTCTGCCAAAGAATCCTGAGAAGTATAGTATGTTAAGTTGCTGAGAGTTGTTTGGTGGCCCCCTGTTTCTCTTGCAGAGCTTCAGTTCCCAGAGTTCCCTGGGAAGAGGGGCAACACCCTGGGAATTTTAGCTTGTCCGTGCTCCTACCAACAGTGTGTATGTAGTTTAGGCTATCAGTGGCTACTAGTAGTGTTTCTGAATGCTGGTTTCTGGAAACCCGAGGTGGAGAGAGTGTTCTTGTGACCCGAGTCCACTTGCAAGCTTCCCACAGCTGCCTGGTTTGCAGCTGTGAGAACAGGATACTGGAATAAGTGGGTTATTGGCCGGATTCAGCAGGGCTCTCGCATGCTCAGTTTCAGGGGAGAAAAGGCTGGTTAAGAGATACCAGTTTGGTCGCTCTTTTCCCCACTCTGCCGCAGTCTTTTCCTAGATGTTGTTGGACTACAATTCCCATCATCCATAGCCAGCAGTGCCAGTGGGTCCATTTTCTGGGCGCCAGTGGGAGTCGGGGGGGGGATATGCTTAAATACGGAGAAACTTCACAGGGACATGTTTGAATTGGGAACATAGGTAGTTGTATTAACGGGGAAGTTTAGAGTGTACTTGCAAGGTCATGATAGGGCATAGCAGAGACACCTGTTTCAGAGTGTTTGCCATCATATTTATGCTTGAAAGTTTAAGCTACTGGTTATCGAGGTTGAACTGCCCTTGCATTTGTCCCCCACATATTCAGGATATCTGTACCTGCTTCTTTGTCCTGTGCAGCTTCTTTGTCAGAACCTTGACATGTTTAATAGCCCTTTTTGGACATCTGCTGAGTCGATCTGGGCAAGGAGAATGTGTTGATCAGAGCTAAAAAAAAGAGAAAAGAAAATTTTCTTTGAGAGTAAAGTAACTCATTATCTTCTCTGGGCGGCATAGCATCCATCTGCTGATATAAAAATGAGTATGAAGTAAAGCTTGTGTTCCTTTAGAGGTTAAGCATAGTTATATAAATTCTCTGGATTGCGTACTAGTTAGAAGGAAGTGGCAGAGTGTTTGCTAAAAATGGTGAATGAAGAACATTGTAGTCCTCAGTTTTGTCCTTTGGAAGATGCACCACGGTAATCGCAAGCGCGCACACAGACACACACACACACACACACACACACACACACACACTTCCTCTGTGTGTAAAATGTGGTCCAAAGAAAACAGAACACAGCCAAAAAGAAACTGTAGTCCTCTTTGAACTGGGATCAAGTTTGTCTTTCTAATAGATTAATTTCAGGGCGAAATGAACAAAAATAAGAAATAACGTGTTGTGCAGTCGTTAGTTGAATTTTCTGAAAGGAAGGCAAGATGGGACGAAACGGCAAAGGCAGGTGTAAAAAAGAAAAGCAAAAATGCCAGATACTGCTTCTTGAAAAACATTCAAATCTTATTAAATCATGTGAATTTGGTCTCAAAACCTCAAAACTCTGGATGCATTGTAAACTTAAATGGTCCTTCAGGGGAATGAATAGCAAAGTCTTATTAAGTGGCTATTAAAAAAAGGTGCCCTAGGTATATTCTCACTTTGTCTTCCAGTGCTGTCACTCTTGTCTTCAGTCAAAAAAACAGACCCCAAGGGGAGCTTTGGGTGTAGGGAGTGGCTTGGGTTGTCTGTGGCCTCCCTGACACAACATCAGACCACCGTTTTTTAGCATTTCGTGCTCAAACCTTAGGCGTTTCTGCTTCTCCTGCCTCTTTCTTCCTCCTGTTTTCAGCCAACTGCAGTCACTTGCCTGCTCCAAACTTGAACAAGGTGAACCATGGTTTAACTGTGATTTAGGGAAGCAAACCAACTTCAAGCTGTGGCTTTTATGGTCCTGCCTCATTTCCCCAACCAACAAATACAATCAACCGTGTATTTAAGTGCTTGCTTGGGATCCGTCCTTCTTCCACCAACCTGCTTGCTCACCTGCATGCTGTCTAGCAGGCTGTGCCTGGCATAGAAACCAAATGTCTTGCTGCTTCTGTGCCCAGAATTGGAGCTGTGTGCTGCAAGAGGGATAGATCTCTCATCCCTTCCTCTCCCAGCCCTCAGCAGGATAGTAACTTTAGTGGGCTTAATTGCAATGTTGAGGACAAAGCTCTGGTCCCTCTCCCCCACCCCCAATAAAAACGTTCTATATAGCAGCATTACAATATCAGCAGTTTGATTTTCAACTCCTTCCCTAATGATCCCTAGCATGGAATTTGCCTTTTTCATGGAAGCTGCGTGCTAGGTCAACAGCTTCATTGAGCTATCCACTGTGACCCCAAAGTCTCACTCCTGGTCAGTCATTGCCCCGTCAAACTCCATGAGATTATCTCTGAAAGTAAGGTGGCTTTCACAAATAAACTTTCTTATTTTGAATTGCATTTGCCATTATATTCATTCACTTGGGGAAAGTACTTTTGGAGCTCTTCACGATCCTTTTTTTTTTCTTTTCTTTGAGTCTGAAACTATTTAGTATCGTCAGCAGACATGGCCACCTTACTGCTCACCCCTAACTCCAGATTCTTTAGGGGGGATTTAAAAAGCTTTGGCCCAGTACAGATCCATGGCAGCATGGGATTCCCTCCCTTGGGAGAACTGCCCATTTATTCCTGCTTTCTGCTGCTTCGCCAGGACTTCTCTTATTTCATGAATGCCAAGCTTACTTATGAGTTTTTGGTGAGGTACTTTGTTGAAAGTTTTTAGGAAGTCCAAGTACACTGTGGCTACTGGATCTCCTCTTGTTGACATTCTCAAAGTACTTTAATAGCTTAATGAGACTGTACTTACAGGACTCATAATAGGTTAGTGTGACAGAGGGGAAGAATGGTCTCTGATGCTTTGTATTGGAACCCATGATATTCTCTCAGGGTATGTATCCACGCCATATATTTAAAGCAATATCATACCACTCATGGATTCCCCCAAAGAATTTTGGGGGTGGTAGTTTAAGAGTGCTGAGAGTTACTCAGAGACCACTCTTGCTCTCCTAGAGCTACAAATTTCAGAGCAGTTTAATGATCCATCCCTCTTCACATGGAGAATTGTAGTTTTGTGCGGGGAACAGGGGCCTCCTAACTACTCTCAGCACCATGAACAAACCACAACTCCCAGAATCCTTGGGGAAAACCGTGGCTGTTTAAGGTAGTATGATAGCCACTCAAATGTATGGTGTAAATGTGGCCTGAGTGTTTCTAAACTGCAGAACTGTTTTATTTAATTTTGTTTATAACCTTGTTTATAACGTTGCTTTTAAAGATGAGTCCATGTATTGTTTTTTAATCCTGTTCTTTCTGTTCTTCTCCCCACCCCCGATCATTTGCCTTCCAGTTTGTGGGCCAAACATCGACATTCGTAACAATGTGGAGCAGTTCAAGCAGCTGGACGACTGTACGGTGATTGAAGGGTACCTCCGAATTTTGTTGATCAGCCAAGCCGAGGACTTCAGTCACTACCGCTTCCCGAAACTCACAATGATCACAGACTATCTGCTGCTGTTCCGTGTGGCGGGCTTGGAGACCCTCAAAGACCTCTTCCCCAACCTCACAGTCATCCGCGGCAAGAACCTTTTCTACAACTACGCATTGGTCATCTTTGAGATGACTAACCTCAAGGAAATTGGACTGTACAACCTGAGGAACATCACCCGGGGGGCCATCCGGATCGAAAAGAATTCTGACCTGTGTTACCTCTCTACCTTGGACTGGTCTCTGATCTTGGATGCTGTTTCAAACAACTACATCGTGGGGAATAAACCGCCAAAGGAGTGCGGGGACTTGTGTCCGGGGACAGCCGAGGAGAAGCCGCTTTGTGAGAAGACATCCATTAACAACGAATACAGCTATCGCTGCTGGACTTCCGGCCACTGCCAGAAAAGTAAGCATGGGTGGTTAACTTCTGCCCCCTTCTAAAAAGCATTTCGTTAAGGAATAACACTCCTCTCCACCTCTTATAACGCATACACCTGACATGTTATCGTTGACAGGAGCTGTCTGTGAAAAGGCACGGTTTCAAAACCAGTGTGGATTTGGGTAGAAATGACCTTGAAATGGCAGATAATTCTGTTTGCCCACTTCTTGAACTAAATTCTAGAATAAGACAGAGAAGGATCAGGTGTTATATATTTATTGCAGGGGTGGGGACACCTATGGCTGTTCAGATATTTGTGGACTACAGCTTCCATCAGCCGCAGCTAGCATGGCTAGTGGCCATGAATGATGGAAGCCATAGTCCAGTAACAATGGAAGGCCACAGGTCCCCCATCCCTGATCTTTTTATACCCATCTTTGCTTTCATGATGGAATTTGAGGTCATGGAGATATTCAGAGTTGTATCCAGTGGTGTAATTTAGCTGATGGTAAGGAAGCATCAGTGGAAGGGGGAGGGAAACAATTTTCAATCATTTGCCCTCTCTAAATCTGCTCAAGAACATTGTGGGAAACTCGAAAGCATATTTAGGGGCGAGGTATTTCTTGTGGGGGTGCAAGGAGGTGGGGGGGATAGTTGAAAATGGTTTCCCTCCAAATTGCACTGATGGACACCTCAGTGTCTTCTGAGCAATGCCATTGGATAAAACCCAGACTCCCTAGGTGTTCTCTTCTTCCAGGCGCTGACCAGATTAGCTACAGCAGTTGTCGTTCTCTGGTGTCCCTTGAACCATAGCCTGGTACCACTTTGGGCAGCTGGTGGGGGGTGGGGAGGATAGCATGTCAGGACACTTCACAAGAAGAAAAGCATGCCACATTGGGAGGGTAGGCAGGACCCTATATGGATAAAGACTAGCTTTGTATGTGCGGATAATATTTTATTTGCATTGAGAAAAACACAAACATGCAAATCCTACCACCACACATTGACAGCCTCGGAAAAAGCATCAACTCTTCTGTATGCTGAATGTATAACTTCACGGAAGTTACCCTGGGTACTGGCTTCCTGGTGTGTGTGTGTGGAAAATCATAGAACCACATAACCAGATGGCGGTTAAGTGTGTTTGTGTGCAGCATGTAGATATAAAGTTACCTGAAATTTGAGAGGGAGGCAGAATATGCAGGTCCTTTGATTTTCACTGTTGCTCCTCTTAGAGAGTCGCATTATAGGAGAGACTCCACTTTGCGGAAATGGGTTCTACATGATGCTGACAAATCTTCAAAAGTGCAATGTAGTGCATTTTTTTAGAATGACAATGCCCCTCCTGTCCCATTTCAGGCTTTCAAATGGATCTTTCACTTGTCTATCAAAGCAGTTGTGGACAGAGGTGGGGTTTTTTTTGGAGTATATATGGATTTTGAATGTGGTACCTAGTGGTTTTACGTAACCATTACAGCTGGGTGCACAGGTGAAATTGTGCCTGTCGCTACTGTTTGCAGTCTTATCACCTGTGGCAGAGTTTGCCTTCCCCTGATAAAAGCAAAACAAAACACTTTTGTTTTTGTTTTCTGCTTTGGGATGTGCGTGTGGGAGCTAGGATGAACATGCCTGCTGCTCAGATAATGGGTAGTGCATCCATTCTTGTATTCATCCAGTGGCGTTGAGCAAATGGAACTACGGCAGTGTGTTTTGAAATGGTGAAGGGGCCTATGGATTATTATTTTAAAGCAGCAGCCTCCATTATGTAGTGGAGATGCAGCTGGCATCAGTGGACAGCACCAAATATAAGGAGAAATTTATGGCATGTTATCAGTAGGAGTGAAATATTTAGGTTGGGAGGGTGTACTCTGTGGGTCTGTTATGAGGAAGACCCCCAACCTCTTATGAGATGTGGGCAAACATAATCCATTCTCTCTGGAGACAAATTTGGGTAGATTGGGTTTTGCTTCATTTATTTTAAGTTACATAATGTATTCAAATGTTGAAACCAGAGAGAAGGGTCATATCCCAGTAATTGGGCCTCTACTGGGCAGAAGGATCTAGATTCAATCGCTGGCCTCTCCAGGAAGGACTGGGAGAGATCTAATCTGAAATCCTGGAAAACTATTGCCATACACTGTCGATAATACGGCTTCCTCTGTTCCATTTCATGAAGTAAACTTTGTGAGGTAAGCCAGTATTATCCCCATATTACTGATCATAGGAACTGAGATTGAGTGGTTGGAAGATTGAATTGGGGAGTCAGTCCCCAGCTAATTTTAAGCCAATTCTTCCTTGGGCATGGTGTACCCCTACTCACTTAATCCAAAAACACCCTCTTGGAATGGATGCATGGCTGGGGGAGACCCCTTGTTCAAAGCAACTTGGTACAGTCCAACTTGCTCATTGCTGTGTCTCTCTTCTGAGTGGGAGGAGACGGGACATTAAGAGACCCATCCTACCTGGTTGAGTCCAACTAAACAGGTTTAATGGTACAAATGACTTGATTCCATGCCATCAGCCATTTGGAAAGTATTCACGTTGTTTGGTTTCAAGCAGTACTGAGAAATCAGTTGTTAAAATCAGGTATCCTACAGTGCTCTTGGTACTAGCATTTAATAAATGAAATAATGGCTCAGATCGATGGCTTTGTTTCACCAGAATTCAGGTGTTCAATATTGTGGGTCCGTGTTCTGTGAAACTCCCTTCTGCCTGAGACCAGGCAGGCCTCCCTTCCCTGTTGTATGTCCAGCACTTAGTGAAGACTTTAGAAAAACACCCCACAAATCAGGGATTTTAAATGTTTTGCTGGTTAATTTCAACTGATTTTATTTCTCCTATATTCTAAAAAAATGTTAGGCTGCCTTTGTGTAGCTCCTGTTGGTTCTATAAATGTACAATGCAATTGTGGCCTAGTTTGCTTGGGAGGCTGGAATGCCCTCCCAATACACCAGGAGACTTGCGTTTCTTTCTCCTCCTCCTTCCACACCTGAGGTTTTGGTGGGAGGTCCTCACCTCTATAGGTGCAAACAAAGGATGGTTTGGGCAAGACGCTAGAAGTGTTTCCCAGGCTACAGCAGAAATGACACATTTGTCAATAGTCTGTTGTGGGCTAGAAGCTTTAAAAACAGCACAAAACAAGGTTGAGATTTTCTGACAGAAAATTCTGGGCCAACAGGCATGAAATAAACTGATTAAGAAAGAGTTACAACTCATTTTAGGGGAATTGGGTTTTCGGTATTATGGTAAAGTGGACACAGCAAAGCGTGTTTCTCAGTTCATTGTCAAAATTGCAAGATAAACAAACAAACCCACCCCAAAATTTTGAAGACCCAATATTATTTAAGGGGCTACTGATAATAAGCCTGGATTGCAAAGAGGGAAAACATCATCTTTCCCTTCAGCATGCCTGGAGGGGAACTGCCTGCTCTTTCAGTAGGGAAAACAAGGGAAGTATAAATGTTCAATTGTTTAAAAGGGAGCTTCCTGTTTACCCTGCTTGGATGTTGGAGAGCATTAACAGAGGAGGAACAGGAAAGGGGTTGTAGCTTAGCTGTGGAACATCAGCTTTGCTCCAGATGCTGACATCTCCAGGTAGGGCTAGGAATGCTCCCTATCCGAAATCTTGGGGAGCTGCTGCCAGTCAGAGTAGATAACCCTGGCGCTAGATGGTCCGGCCTGGTGTAAGGCCACTCCCTATGTTTCCTTGTTGGCTTGGGATCAGGTTATTTGAAAAGTTGTAGGGAAAGGCTGTGGCTTAGTGGTTGAGCACAAGTGCTGCTTGCAGAAGGCACTTGGTTTAATCCCTGGCATCTACAGGTAGGGCTGGGAGGGAGCCTCTCTGAAAACCTTCCAGGGTTTTAATAGGTTTGTGTCCCTTGGGCCGATGGATTCTGGACTTGCCTTGTCCATCTTCTGAATGGGGCGCAATACCTAGCAGAATGTTCCCAAATGGTTGGCTCTCCTGCCTGCTTTTCATTTCCACTTGCATTTGTGAACTTTTGATTCCCCCAGATCACCCGCTGTTCATTCCTTTCCGATCGCACCCCAGTTGGTTCCCTTTCATGCTTCCATTCCACTTCTACCTCTTCGTTCAAGCCCTCATCAAAAGCCAACTTCTTCTCTGCATCTTTTGACATCGCCTCTTAGCCTTCAGCTGTGGCAAAGCCAGAAGACACATACAGTTTAATTGGAAGCACCACAGGGCAGAGTCATATCATGCCTTCCCTTATATTATTATTATAGATGGGGAACCTTGGGCTTGGCAAGTGAAGTTGGCCCTTGGGATTCTCCCCAACCACACCCCATCTCCTCAGGCCACACTCCTGACCGACTTGGCTTCACACCCTTCTTGCAGAGTTTTTGCCCTCTTGGAATGTGTCCTTGAACTCTGGTAATGATGTTCACTCGCCTGGATGGTGGACCTGGAAGGGCGTGTAGAAGCCAGCTTACTGTGCACAAGTAAATGAACCATTCATTGCTCCACCTGCTTTTACTCCTGGCCCCACCCACCAGTGTTCAAAATTAGCCAAGCACCAAGCAAAGATGCCTGGGCGCCAGGATGGCGCCTGACATCTCCACCATCTGAAGATCATTGGATCAGCTATATTTTATCTGCACAATCAGAATGAATTTCAGGAACCAGATTGCTTTTTCTGTGCAGCCTGAGTAGTAGCAGTCGCCATTAAGAAAAAGAGATCGGAATAGGCCAATATAAATGTGGACTCTCCCTGGATCAATTGACGTTTCTTCTTTAAGGTCTCAAAGCTCTTAACCTAGCTCAAAGTTGTCATCTGAACTAGCCAGATGTTTAACTGAAAATCAACCATAGTCACTCCATCATTTGAAAAATAAGACTTTAGAGCCCTCTTGCCCCCAAATGGCAAGTAGAGATTCCATTTTGGCAACTGTAACCTTAGTTTAAGGAGCCATTTGGCACCTAGCTTATATATATGAGTTTCTAACCCTGGTATCAACGTATACAAAATTATGCTTGTGGCTGTCAGTATGTGTTTGCACACACACACACACACACACACACACACACACACACTGCTTTTGGAGGATGGCACAGTCGCAAGTGTCCTTATTTGTGCTCTCGGCTGACTGGCTTGGGAAGTTTTGGTGCGGACTCCCCCCCCCCCCCGTTCCTCCAGGAAGCTTGTGTTCGAATCCCTTTGTCCTTGCTGAGACCTTCCACTGAAGGATATCGAGTGGGTGGGTAAGCGCTGTGTGGGAACACTCAGTTCTCTTGCGAGCAAGCTGGCTTGTTTAATTTCGTCGCAGAGCAGAAGCCGGCTATCGCAAACAAAGGAGCAAAAAAGCTGTCGCTTCCTTTGGCCCAACTCTCTCATGGAAACAATGTCAGAAGTGGGCTGCTCTCTCTGTCTCCCCCCCCCCCCCCAAGCTATCCAGGACTTTGTGGCATTTTTTAATAGCGATAAATAAACCCGATAGAAAAGTGAAAAGAGGGGGAGAGGAAGATTCAAGTTTCCGTGGGTGCCTCTCTTCTCTCCTCTCTCACCCCCCCTTTAACCTTTTAAGTACTTGTATTCACGTTAGTTCCCACAGGCATTTGCAACGCTAATCCTGCAATATTTACTCTTTGCTTTCTTCACAAGCTGTAGGGAGAATGCCAACTGCGTAGTTTCGCTTACATCTCCTTTTGGCAGTAGAACTGGAGAATGATGTTGCCATTCCGGATTTCCGGAAAAGCGAAGTGGTTGGATACTTTCCAGCAGCTGCTGGGATGAGTAGTTGTTCGACTCTCTCTCTCTCTTTCTCTCTCTCTCTCTCCCCCCCCCCCCTGCATTTTGCTAAGGATATATTTTGGATGAAAGTTTGGCATCAGGAGTAAATTCTGGAGAGCAGGGAGAGATGTTGCAACACTGCATTAAAAACATTAATGGGATCTTCTTAGAAGAAGAAGAAAGTCAAACAATTGTAGTATTTTGAGGGTCTCTCCCCCCCTTCCCCAGTCAGTGTTTTCATTTTAACATTTATTTAAAATGCCGCCCAGAATTTATTTACGTTATCCTAAGTTTTATCTCCGCACTGCTTTCTCTACACTTGCCAACCACCGGATCACAGAAAATATAGCCAGATTCCTTTCTGTAGCAATCAAAACTAGGTCACTATTATTAAAGGGGAAATGAATCCAGAGTTAAAAGTTGTCTGTGCTTTTTAACTATTCCTTTTTCTTAAATCCAAATACAGTAATATTTATTGGTTCTCGTGTCAATACAAGAACAACAAAAACTACAGTAACTTGTCCAGTGGTACATTCTTTTTAAGTTTCATATTCAGTATACAGTGCATTTATTTATGCATTATCAATTTAAGTATCCTCTCCACATAGATTCTGCTTTTTAACTATTTCTGATAGTTAACAGATTTTGTCATACTCTCCTCGTAAAAGGCACTATGTGTGCGCCTGTATACTTTTTGTGTTGTTTTCCCTGTGATTGTCTTGATTAATCCTACATTGTATTTGACGTTTATGGCCTGTAGACTAAATAAACTGAGCTTGAGTTCACTGTACATGAGGACTCCTTGGCTTCTCTAAGGATTAATCTGCTCTTTAATTGGATTTATCTACTGTTTTGGTAGGAACTGGAAGCTGCTGACCCCTGGAGCAAATTGGGCCCTTAAGGAATACATGTTAGACATAATAGGGGGCTTCATCAGACCCTTTGCTGCTGTTCCAGTAAGTCAGTTTTGGGGAACCTTTTGCTTTCCAGGTATTACTGAAATACATCTCCCATCAGCTGCAGCAAACATGGCCAGGAATGATGCGAGTTGTGGTTCAGCAACATCTGGAGGACCCAAGGTTCCCCACATCTGCCTTACGTCCTCCTCCCCCCCTTTCTTATTTTTCTGGGGTTTTGAGTTTTGCTGCATTCACTGGGACCTGTATAATACATGCATACATTGTATCATATATAAGCCTGTTTACATGATGATTTGTGCTTTTTTATTTTAAAAAAGTACTTTTATTTATTTTCAAGTTGTGCAATACCTCTGTGACAAAATTTGCAATAAACTAAACATATAACTGTATATTATTGCATTTGTTATTCCAGTACATTGAGAAGAACCTCTTTCTCCCTAAATTTATTAGGTTGGCTAGCTTGTAGTCTCCCTTAGTAGGTTAACTTAACCATATATCAAATCAGTTCATTCAAAGATAGTAGGTGAGTGTTTTTCTTTCCATTCAGGTTTTTTTGTGCTTACTATTTTTGCTGCAGTAATCGAGTTAATTACTACCTCAAGATCACTGTCCATAAAATGTATCTAAGGCTCCAATGGAATATAAATGCCTATAATTTGTATTATTCCTATAATGTGTTTCGACTCTCAACTCCCGCAAGCTGGCATGCCCATTGGTAAGGGATGATGGGAGTTGTGGTCCAACAACATCTGGAGGGGGCATGGATGAGTTAGTCCTGCTTTCCATGATTGGGGGAAGAATCCTGTCTGCCCTTCAGGTACTCTGAAAACGTCGTTTCTGATCATGCGTAGGGCTGAATGAGGTCTGGTTTTCAACATTGTGATGTATCACCAGCTAAACATCACAGTAAACCTGGAACCCAGTCTCTGCTGGTATGCAGCTGAATTGAGTGAGTGGACCTTGTTCTGAAGTTGGCAGCGCAGTGGTGACTTACGTCCAGTAGGAAGTCTTGTGCTTCATGAGGCGCCTCCAAACTCTTCTTTCCTTCTTCGGCTGTCAGACCATGTTCTTTGTCCTTTAGAAAATATTGAATCTATGCAAAGTATGCAGGCATGACTGGAAAAGGGAGGGGAGCCTGTAGGCCCTGAATCGGTTCCTTCTGTTTTATTCAGAAGCTGCTTCTTGCGTATGTCTTGTGCTGTGTGGAATGCAGGGGAAATCAGTAGTAGAAGCTTAAAAAGGGCAACTTAAATGTCTTGGTATATCTCATTCCTGAGCTCTCTCTACCCCTTTCTCTTGATCACCCTGTGCCAAGTTTTGGACTGTATGTTCCTCAGAGTAGGAACTTGTGCTCTTCTGCTCTGTATGCTGAAGGTGCTAAATAATAAACCAGCAGCCACAGCTCAGTGATTGAACACCTGCTTTGCATTCAGAAGTTCCCAGGTTCAATACTTGGCATCTGCCAGTGCTCTACCCCTGAGCTATGGGTGGTTCCAGAGACAGGCCAGTGTTAGGGTGGGGTGGACCTTCAGACCCCTTGTCACGGTCCGGTTCATGGGCAATTGAAGTCCCAGCAGGGGACGTCAGGACCGGGGGCAAGATGGCAGGATGGGAGCAAGAACGGGGGGTCTAGAAGCCAGGAGTAAGGAAGCCAAGAGTCCGAGGGCCAGAGAGCCGGGAGTCAAGAAGCCAAGGGTCCGAGGGTCAGGAATCAAGGAGTTAAGAAGTCAAGGGTCCGAGGATCAAGAAGCAGGGAGTCAAGAAGCCGAGGTTCAAGGATCAGGAAAGAAGAAGCCCAAGGCAGGAAGCGTGTTGCTGTGGCAAAGAGCCGAAGGGAAATACTGACCTTATATCCCTTCCCAGCTCTTGCCACCAGGTGCTGTGAGTTACCGGTCGGCCTCACCTATGGGCCCGCGCCTTGCCTCTTCAGAACAAACTTAGGAAGGCCCCAGTCCTGCAAAGTCCTATTGGTCACAGGGCCTGGCTCCTGCACGCACACCTGACACCCCTTTAGAAAATTCTCTCCTAGAAATTAGATGTGACGCAATAGTCATTGCGAAAGCCTTGATCATCTGCTTGAACATTTAGCTTCCTCTTGAGGAACAGGGAAGTGATGGCTGCGGGGAAGGGACTGCTTGAAGCCCAAGACTCTTAATCTCAGGGTTGTGGGTTCGGGCCCCACATTGCATCGCAGGGGGTTCTACTAGATGACCCTCATGGATCCTTCCATGTCTGCAGTTCTATGAGTCTCTTAAGAAGAGCCTTCTGGAGCAGGCATATGTCTCATCTAAGTCTAGCATCCTGTTTTCACAGTGGTCAACCAGTTGCTGCAATGGGAAATCCTTAAACAGAACCCAGGCACAAGAACACTCTCCCAGCGGGTCTCCAGCAACTGGAGGCAGAGCATAGCCATCATGGTTAGTAGCTGTCAATAGCCCTCTCCTCCATGAATTTGTCTAATCCTCTTTTAGAGCCATCTAGGTTCTTAGCCATCACTGTCTCCTGTGGGAGCGAGTTCCTTAGTTTAAACTATGCACTGCGTGAAGAAGTCCTTTCTTTTATCTGTTCTGAATCTTCCAACATCCAGCTTCTTTGAATGTCCGCACGTTCTATTGCTTTGAGAGAGGGAGAAAAACTTCATTCTGTCCACTTTCTCCATGCCACGTATAGTTCTATAAACTTCTATCATATTCCAGTGTTAGAAACTGAGATATGAAAGCCAGGAGCTAAATGGCACCTCAAACCTAGTTATGGGCGCCACAATGGAGCGTCTAGGCACACTTTTTTATAACAAAAAGACAAAGCTGGAAATGAATGAACTGCAGCTAAAATATTATGTTCATTTTTCTCATGGCCTATTCCTCATTTGAAGGCTGCAAAAAAAAAAACCCAAAGCCATGCTCCCCCCCCCCCCACCCCGCTTAATATTCTTTTGAGAGTCTGTTGTCCAGTCTTCAGAGAGTGGCTGGAAGTGGGGAGGCAGAAAAAGGTCCTTTTCTTCCAGCAGTGCAGTGGCAATTTTAATCTGAAATCTTTGGCTCAGTACTGTGCCCAGAGCTCAGAAACTGCTTGCATTAATGAAATTCCCTGTCACAAAACGCGCCTACAACAATGCGAGTTTCGAACGCTGATCATGTCCCCTCTTCCTTGGCTTTCCTCTAAACTGAATTTCAGTCTGGAGATTGGAGATTGTGCTTGGAGAATGGACACTGTGCAGAGCAGCCTTCCCAAACATAGTGGTGCCCTATCAGCTGTTTTGCATTGCAGCTAAGCCAAGATGCTAAATGGTTGGCTATAATGGAAGTCTAGCGACATTTGGAGGGCAGCAGGTTTGGAAACGTTGGTGTGGACCAGTAGTTCCCAAACCTTCCCCCCCCCCCCATGTGCCAGTTGAAAATTGCTGATGGTCTTGGCGGACTGCTTCATGATTTTTCAGCCTGATTTTTAATAGTGTCTTTATTGCTTATATTGTAACATTGTATTATGATTTGCATTCCGTAGAATTCAAATTGCAATACAATAAAATGCAATATAAGAAACAAAAGAAGCAATTTAAATATAATCAAAAATCAATATGAATATTTGATGTGGGCATGCTGCGAACCCCCTGAATAGAGCTTGAAGACCGCTGGTGGTCCATGGTGCACGGTTTGGGAATGCTTGGTCTACACCAGGGATGTCCAACAGGTCGATCTTGATTGCCTGATCAATCCCTGGGAGGTTTTGGTAGATTGCGGTAGATTGCTGGCCCCTCCATCCATCCCTGCCCCCTCTCCCTGTCCTCTAGATTGCTAGAGCGGAAGTCGGAGATTTCGCAGTGAGGCTGACTGTCTCATTAGCGATCTCTCGGTGAGTGCCCTTTTTTATTATTTGACCTTAGCCCTTAAATTAAGGAATATTTCCTCCCTTCCATAAAAAAAAGCTCAACAACTTTGACCTGAACACCCCCCCCGGGGGGTAGATCACTGCCAGATTTTAATGGTGTGAGTAGATCAGTCTTTTGGAAGTTGGACGTCCCTGGTCTACACCAAGCACCATTGAGTTAGATTGACCAATGGTCTGGTTCTGTTTAAGGCAGCTTTTTATGTCCCAGCAGTGCTTAACCCTGATGTAGGTTTCTTGGAAAATTTTGAGTTGGAAAACATTCCTACTTAAATCGGCCTAATTTGTATTGGAAAATACGTAGTTTGCATTGGAAAATTTTCTGATGCCCTGCCTAGAGAGTGATCTAATTTACCATGTTTGTTTTACTTGCACTTACTTTTTTTTTAAAAAAAGCTAAAAACCTACGATCATGCCTAATATAGTATTTGCAGTTGGCATCCATTTGTTGTTACTAATGAACTTTACTTAATGGGTCTTTTGAATTGCCTGCTTGTTTGACCTAGCATAGGAGTCAAGAGCCATTTCAGACCCGTGGGCACATTTGGATTTTTGAGTGATTACGAACAACACCCACTCTGATCACGTTCCCCCTTTCCTTCCCTGAATCTGTCCCTACCTCAAGAGACAGACAGAATTCACACATGCACTTTGCTTTTCCAAGGGATCTGAATAGAAGTCAGATTATCCTGAGCCTTGAAAAGTGCATAGAGCTGAAAGAGGAAGTGGGTAAGTGTCACTTTCCCAATTTCCTTCTTCAGTTCTGTGTACTTTTCAAAGGTGAAAAGGGTAACCATCTCATGACCGAGTGAGTAGGTCAGTGGCTTACAGGAGTGCAAGGAGATGCAGCAGCTGCTGTTTCATTCTGAATTTTTGTAACTTTATTGTAGTGTTTTATACACTTCTTTGTTGTCCTTATGAAAGGCAGTGCGTATAACTGTTTCATTCAATAAAATTGCAACTGTGGTTGTTGGCCACTGGTGGCTAATTCCCTGTTAAGGAAAAATCCTGGAGCCCACTGCACCCCAAGCAGATCATGGCCAAATCAGTGTTAGAAACTCAGATATATAAGCTAGGTGCCAAATGGGTCCTTAAACCAAGGTTACAGTCGCCAAAATGGAAAGTCTAGTTGCCATTTGGGGGCAAGAGGGCTTTAATGTCTTATTTTTCAAATGATGGCGTGACTATTAATTGATTTTCAATTAAACTTCTGGCTAGTTCAGATGATAATCCTGAGCTAGGTGAAGAGCTTTGAGACCTTAAAGAAGAAAAGTCATTTAATCCAGGGAGAGTCCACATGTATATTGTTGTTGTTGTTTAGTTGTTTAGTCATTTAGTCGTGTCCGACTCTTTGTGACCCCATGGACCAGAGCATGCCAGGCACTCCTGTCTTCCACTGCCTCCCGCAGTTTGGTCAAACTCATGCTGGTAGCCCCGAGAACACTATCCAACTATCTCGTCCTCTGTCGTCCCCTTCTCCTTATTCCCTCAATCTTTCCCAACATCAGGGTCTTTTCCAGGGAGCCTTCTCTTGTCATGAGGTTGCCAAAGTATTGGAGTCTCAGCTTCACGATCTGTCCTTCCAGTGAGCACTCAGGGCTGATTTCCTTAAGAATGGAGAGGTTTGATCTTCTTGCAGTCCATGAGACTCTCAAGAGTCTCCTCCAGCACCATAATTCAAAAGCATCAATTCTTTGGCGATCAGCCTTCTTTATGGTCCAGCTCTCACTTCCATACATCACTACTGGGAAAACCATAGCTATATATTGGTCTATTCCAATCTCTTTTTCTTAATGGTGACTGCTTCTGCTCAGGCTGCACAGAAAAAGCACCCCCCCCCCCCAAATTCATTCCGATTGTGCAGATAAAATATAACTGATAGACTTCTACAGGATGTGGTATTAGTGTGTGAAAGCAGTCCAGATCCAATGATCCTCAGATGGTGGAGATGTCAGGCACCATTCTGGCGCCCAAGCATCTTCACTTGGTCACAAGTGTTTGATTGCCTGGTGCAGAATGCACCTGGCAGCTGCCTAATTTTGAACACTGGGCCAAATACAAGCAGTTCCTCCAGCTAATTCACCTGTTGTAATAGGTAGCTGTTTTCTTTTTTCATGAGCTTCCTCTCTGTCTCCTTTTATTTTTTGTCTTTCCAATAAAAAAAGGATTTGTTCAAAACATGGTGCTTCCAACATTGCATTCTTGAAATTTGAATGCATGCAGTATCAGGATGTACTAGCAAAGCAGTAGTTTTGTTGTTGTTCAGAAATCTGCTAATCTAACCTATACTGGGAGGATGTGGATTGTTGCTCAACTGGGCCATCTGCTTTCACAGTCAGTCCCTCTGTTAGAGGCGCCTGAACAGTGTGGTGGCTAGCTGGTTGCAAAAGGGGACTTCCCTTCTTTTTTTCCATTTTCTTTTTTAAAAAGTTTTTCTTCTTCTTTTTGAAGCGAAAGGCTTCTTTTGAACAAGTGTGGGAAAGAAGTTTGGAATTCTGAACCTGAAAGAGCCTCCTGTGTGTTCCCTTCTTCCTGGACACTTTGTTAGCCTTTGTCATTGATTAAATTGTCCTGAATGAATGCTGTAGAGCCTCTCGATAGCACTTTGGAGCGTTTGAAAATGCTTCACATACATCATCTCCGTAATCCCTGCACCAGCTCCAGCTCCAGCTCCATAAAGTGGGGTTGTAAAGGATTTCTGTGTCTTTCTCCTTGGCCTGGCTGTCGAAGGCCTCACAAGCTGAGTTTGGTGGGGTTGATGCCCATCGGTTGTGGGTGAACATGGGTGAGTTAGAGAAAGATTGATCTAGCTGGTCTTAGGCAAGTAGAGAAATGTGGAGACCCGGAACCTCACTTAAAACAAAACAGTGGACTGGCCTGTTTTAATTTGTATGTTTAAATCAGGACTGATGGAATATCAATTATTTGTTTATTTATTTTTATTAACAGCTGGCAGTGTTTTTTAATAATATTTTTATTAGTTTTTCTTCTTTTATCTTTTTTATTTGCAAATAAAAAAAATTAAGTGCAAAACAAAAAAGTCTCCGGAAGGTGGAAAAACTGGCAACTTGGAGGAAAACATTTCATGAGTTAAGGATGGGTGAAGTAGTATGTTTAAATATTGCTAATGGGCACTTTGCAGTGCTACAGAGCTTCAAGATTCCAACAGAGCAGTCTTGCAGCAGTTGCTGTTTAGTATTTATATCCGTCAACAGTAAGTGCCAAGAACAGCTCCTCTCTCCCCCCCAAAAAAGAAAAAAGAACTGGAGAATTTAATACTGTACATCAATTCATGAACATGACCAATACCCCCTTTTTAACCAAACATTACACATTGCTAACACAAATGACATTAGAGAGATAGCATTGCTTCTGTTTCTGACTGCTAAACTCTTGTAGGACTTGATGGGGGCTGTTGCTTATTCCCTGCTTGTGGGCTTCCCATAGGCATCTGGTTGGCAGCTCTGCGAAACGAAATGCTGGATTAGATGGGCCTTTTGTCTCATCCAGAGAGGCTTTTCTTACATTCTTACAAAGTTACGGAAGTTGAACTATATCTGAAAGTTGACGGGGTAGGCAAAATGTTTTCCCATTCATTTGTTAATTCTTGGCTGCTGTTTTGATACCGTAGACCATGATGTCACATTGTGATGATTTGAACCTCTCTCTGGAGTGTCTGGTCTTGCACTGCAGGAATCCAATTCTTCTTGGGAGTGGTTGCCAGTGATCATAATTTAGCCCCTTGGGGATGGCTGAACCTCAGGGCTCAGTCTTGGTGCCTGTCTTGAAGGGGCTTAGTCTGTTTGGGAATGAAGGGGGTTAGTTAGCTTCTGGGTTTCAGACAGGATTCTTCCTGGAGATAATTGGGAATTGAACTCGGGAACTGCTGGATGCAAACGTTCGATATCTGCCAGGAGCCAGGTATATTTTGCACCTGGCTATCAGCCACTCGCAACCAAGTGAAGATGCCCAGACACCAGGATGATGCCTGACGTCTCCACCATCTGGTGGTGCATGCCTAGCGGGTCCTTGGATCTTGATTTTTTCCCTCACACATGAGCAACACATCTTGTAGAATTCTGTCATTGATACCTGCACAATCAGAATGAATTTCAGGAACTGAAATTTCAGGATTTTTCAAGTCGAAAAATACGACTTTCGAGCCACTTGCCCCCAAAATGGCAACTAGGTATTTTGTAATCCTGGTTTAAGGAGCCATTTGGCACCTAGCTAATATATCTGAGTTTCTAACTGGCTCTACTGCTGAGCCACAGCCAGTTCCATTTGCTGCTGGGGGCTAGCAAAAGGACACCGCTCCTGCAAGAACCCACTGCAGTCTGTGCTTGGTGCAGAGGAGGGAACTGAGTGTTCCCCTTGTGGAATTTCATGCACTCGCCTTCGTGCAATTCCTTCTCGCCTGTGGCTACTTGGCCAGCACTTAAAGCACCGACCAATCTATTTATTATATATCTCTATATATAATGGCAAATTATGTCCCTGGGAATGTGTGTAATTACTAGGTTGGAATGGCTGTAGTGCAGGGCATTCTACAGCTGATAAATGCAACAGCTGTTTGTTTTTGATTGGGGAGGGAGAGAAAAATAGATAAAATTAGAAATTAAGTACATTCATGATGTTGTTTCTGCATGATTCCAAACCCTGAGACAGAATGCCATATCAGGGGTGTACCAATGGCCATTAGCCGTGAATGCTAAATTGAAGCCAAAGTACCTGTGATTTTCATGCTCGGAGGGCAAGCAGTGAAAGTCTGTGTTGCCTTCAGGACATCCTGATAGGCTTCCTCTGGCTTGACTTCATTGAAGCCAATATCCTGGGCTTCATGGTCCCCTTGGGCTGGTTTTGTGTCCTTGTCCTTTCTTGCAGTTTGTCCAAGTGATGATAGCTTAGTATGTGCCCTCCAAATACAAGTTGTTGGGAAGCAGAAGTGTGAAGAATGCTGTTGGGACCTGCTTGTGAAGGGCGAGTATAAAATAAAACAACAACAATATTGATGTGAAACTCACTTGCACAATGAGAAAACTGGACCACCAAAAGGAAAACCACAACAGGTTCACAGAAAAACATGGTTTCCTTCCAAAGCAGGATTTGGATCATGCTTGCTTCTCTTATTTCAGAGATTCTGCTTTTTAAAAAATTACTAATCTAAGGTTGCCACACTTCCGATATGGGCTGCCGTTCGACTGGGTTTCCCCAGACATTTTCAAGCGACCATTTTTTACAGACGAATCCTGGCTGTGTCTGGGAAATTCTGAACGTATGGCATCCCTAGCTAATCCGAACCTGTGTGGTGTTTTTTGTTATGCAGACATTTGCAACGCATGACATTCATCTGGCTTGACTCTTGACATTTCCCCCTAAGCCCGCCCCCCCATTCCCATTCTTTGCCCCCAGCCAGTTAAAACACTACAGCCACAAGCAGTCAGCAAAACTAGGCCTTTAAGGACTTCCTCCCCAAATATACTTTCTGAAACGAGTTGTGAACGAGTTGTTAAGACACTGAACAAGGGTGATTAAAAATTATGTAAAAAGTAGCATAGAGGATAACCTCATCGGGGGCGGGGAGCAATTATTTTAGTTAAAGTAAGAATTCTAGGCTTATGGCATGGTCCACAATGACATTCCATTTAGGTCCCAGAGGTGGAAGTCCTGTGTGACTGCACCAGTGAACACTTAACTAAAGACAAGCGGCTTGTCTCTTCTCAAATTGTCCCATTTATATGCTTAAATGTTCACTGTCTTGGGTGAGAGGGCGAAGACTAGGCTAGAAGAGTTCACTAGTGTTCTCTGCATTCTTAACATGCAAATACCTACCTGCAGCCCCGGGTCCTACTCTGCAAACTGACCCTCTGTTCAAGTGTCCTAAGCAAATCTCTCGTACATCCCTGCCTCCTTCCCTCTGACCGCCCCTCCCTCACCTTTTGTATAATAAGGCTTTGACCTTCTCATGAAAATGCATTTAAGTGCTGTTTTCTCCCCCAGGAGTGTTCTTGGTGGCTTACAATGGCCTCCTCTTAAAGTTCAACGTGTGCTTCTCAGGTACCTTGTCCTTTTGCAAAACGCTTGAGCAAACCTTTATCTAAGCACAGTGACCTTTTCGGTTTGAGCCATTCTCCGCTGCCCCCGTTTGCTGCAGAATATTTAATTTGCAAAAGGTTTTCCAGGGCAGTCAGACATATTTCTCTTGTTTCGATTAATCCCCCCCCCCCCCGCCCAGCATGTCTGTGTTCATGCCTCGTCTTTTCTCTCCCCCCCCCCTTCTACTTTTCTCGGCAGTGCCTTAATCTCTGTTTATGTTGGTAACTTGACTCAATTTTTATTTGCTGGCTTGCATTAAAGCGCCGGTGTCTCTTTGTGTATAAATGCAAAAGGCTTTTTAATAAGGCAAGATGAATTGGATTAGGTAGAAAAGATGCGTTCTCCAAAAGTGCACCAGAAAGACGTGCGCCCAGAAAAGGCATTGCGTATTCAGCATGTGGGCAAGGTCTTCGAGGTGGACTTCTCCCCCTCCTCTTTTTCCTTCTATGAATAGAAACTTGCAGTATAGAATGGCAAAGGGGTTGGGGGGGTGCGTGTATGTTTGGGGTGGGGGGGTTGGCTTGTTCTCTTTAAGTGGGTTTATAATTGGGTAGGAATTTTTGTCAGCTTAGTCATCCTAGTACTGGGTGGATTAAGGTGGGGAGGGGGGGGGTTGAAGAAGCCACAAGCCCCAACCGTTAGAGGCCCTTGGATAAGAATGTGTCATCCCTAAGGAATGTGTGTGAACGAAATGCGCTGTTCTCGCGTGAGGCTGCGACTGTTGGTCTGAACAGTGATGCATTCTTCGAGCATGGCTCTGAGTCACATGGAGCAGATAGATTGTTTCGCTAAAATGGAAGGTCTCCCCCCCCCCCCGTGGGCTCAGCCATCCCTATCGGGGTTTTCAGCATGGTTTAAACAGACTGGGATTTGGGTGTGGCAAATGGGCTGGAGAGTAAGGCCTCTGTGGGTCAGATCATGGATGTGGAATTCTGAAGACGACAACAACAACAACAGCAGCAGCAAAGTAATCAGTTCCCTATTGAGTCACTTCAGTGGCCTTGTGTATGCTTCCAGGGAGCAACACAATCCCCTAGCAGGAAAAAGAGCAGGGCAGGATCTGTAGGGGAGAGAAGGGAACTAGGCAGACCATACAGAACTCCTTCTCCCAAACTTTTGCACTTTTTGTAAACAAACCAGCAAAAAAACCCCACCAAGCATCATCAAAACATTTTAGGCAGAAACACAAAAAATAGTTACAAATGCACATATTTAACAGCCCATGAAGTTGGTCATTCAGTTAGTGGATGGCTGAATGTCTAGAGAGATGTTTAAAAGAGGAAAAGTGATGTGATATTCAGTGAAATGAGGAAAAGATGAGAAATATAGACTGCTACATGCTGCACTATAGCTAGGTGATAGAGCTGTTTCAAGAGTGTGTGAAGCTGCCTTAACACAGAATTGGACTATTCGTCCACTTAGCTCAGTATTGTTGACATTGATTGGCAGCTGCTGTTCTGGGTTTCAGACAGGGAGTATTTTCCAGATCTACGTGAAGATGCTGGAGATTAAACCTGGGGTCTTCTGCATGCAAATCAGGGGCTCTGCTGAGCTACAACCTTTCCCTTTGCCTACAGAATGTTTGAGGTCCAGTCCCTGGCATCTCCAGGTAGGACTGGAAGAGACCTTTGTCTGAAACCCTCGAGAGCTGCTACCAGTCACTGTTGACAGTTCTGAGCTAGAGAGACCAAGAGCCTTGCACCAAGGACCAAGGCAACTTCGTATGTCACAGGGTTCTTGAATCCAGGTGTCAGAACTGGGATCCTTGATACACCATAGTGAAGTCAACCACGGTATCAATTCAGTTCCCTTTAGGAATTGGGTTTTGCAAGGACTGGACAGACCTAGGATTTGATTTGTAAGGAAAATATCCTTTCATATGACTAATTTTGTAAGAAAAGAATGTCTAGCCTAGAGGTATGGATTCTTTTAATATTTAAAATTAGATTCTTTATTAATAATGTGCCAGAATAATTGAGCCTAGGGAGATGGCAGAGGAAGGGAAAAAATATTAACAGGGGCAGAACAAGGAAAGTTTATGGTATGATTTTTATCAAGCTTCATTGGAATGGAATCAAAATGCAGAGGGCAGACTTAAAAAAAAAAAACCAGCCATAGAGTATTAGGTCCAAGGAGAATAGATGGCTGTGTTTTCCATGACTGTGTTGTGGTTTCACATACATGAAATGTATAAATATAGGTGCAGTTATTTGATATCAAAAAAATGAATATATCAGATATGTATGTGTATGCGTACCGCCTCCATTCTTGCATGTTAAGAAAACAATTGGAGGTGCTCTTGGTAGTTCTGTCACCATCAAAAGTGTGGGGAATGGCAGCCCAGCAGAGAGCTATTTCCTGTGGAAGTGTCGTAAGCTCAGTGTTGGAGCCTCTGCCTTCCATGCAAAAGGTTCTTGTTTCAATTAGCATTTGAAAATCGCCATGCACATTTTGCACCCGGCTATCAGCCACTTGCAACCAAGTGAAGATTCCCTGGCACCAGGGTGGCGCCTGACGTCTTCACCATCTGGAGGTGCATGCCTGGGGACCCTTGGTTCTTTGCTTTTACACGCTAGCAACACATCCTGTAGAATTCTATTCATGATATATTATTTGCACAATCAGTACGAATTTCTGGAACAAAAAAGCCATATTGAAAAATAGAACGTTTGAGCCGTCTGGCCCCAAAATGGCAACTAGGCATTCTGTTTTGGCGACTGTGACCCTGGTTTAAGTAGCCATTTGGCGCCTAGTTTATATACCTGAGTTCCTAACACTGGTTTCAATCCCGAGCACCACCATTTAGGGCTGGGAATGTCCCCTGCCTGAAATGCTGGAGAGGTGCTGCCAGTCAGTGCATACAATACTGAGCTGGATGGGCAGTGCTCTAACTGTATGAGGCAGCTTTGACTGTTTCTGTGCCAGCTTTTAAACCGTGGAACTCTCTTCTTACAGAGGTGCCTCTTCATTGTATAGTTCTTTCCATAAGAAGACAAACCTCTTTCCACTGGCCTTTGATAGCTACGGCATTTTGTTCTGTGGGACACACCTCTTTGGTTGAACCTGTACTATTCTGTTTTTGCTGTAATGGTTATGCCTTGCTTGTTTTTATAGTTTGAATTGTTTTTATAGTTATAAATTGATCCCACTGTTGCATGTCAAGGATAAGTTTCTAAGACTGAAAATTAAAAGTATAATTGCTGTCCCTGTATAAGAATGCATTAATTTCTCCTAAATAATTTCCCCCCTTCTGCTCTGAGATGGTTTATCTGCATTGGCTGTTCCATATTTTGTGGAAAGGAAAGAAGTAATATTTAAAAAGAAGGTGAAACTTCTAAAAGGTTTTCCAACTTTGTTATTGATGATGTCTCTTTAAAAAAAAAGGACCAGAAAGTTGTTAAATGCAGCCTGGGTCTGATACAAGCTACAGAGTTGACTCATTCTCTTACCAGTAATACTTTGAAGTTCTGCTTGTAGATAATGTTCACTGTGGGGGCAGTTAATAGCAGCAGTTGTACAACATTTCAGGCATATAATTCTGCTTTGTAAACTGATGAGGCTGGAAGACCAGTTGTGTGCAGGAGGGAAGAGAGCTTGAATTCCTGAGACTTCAGCTCGTGTACTTAGCTCCAGTGCCTCACCAAATCTCATATGTGGTCATATTTCACCAGTGTGGGGTGCAGTGGTTAGTGTTGGACTTGGACCTGGGAGACCAGTAGTCAAATCTCAATTCAGCCATGAATCTCACTGCAAGACCTCAGGCCAGTCACAGTCTCTCAGCCTAACCTACCTCACAGAGTGGGATGTGAAGGTAAGGAATAAATGGGAACCTTTGTCCTATGGGTCTCATCAGGCCTAGCATGGGGCCCAGTTTGGCCCGTGAGGCCATTCCTCACAAAACAAAAGCCCACCTGCCCCATATAAAATATCATGTGTGGGGCAGGTATGGATGCGGCAATTGGGAGCTTGCACACTGTCAATTCCACTCAACTGATCATCACTGATGGGAGAGACCCCTAAGGTATTAGCTGCCCTAGGTAGCCCCCATTGAAAAATCCTGAGTGCAGCCAAGGCAGCTCTGTTTCGAATCATTTGCAATTGAGGCTGCTTGCTAAGACAGCTTCCCAACCCCCTGCAGTGGGGGGACCCCTCAAATTTTATGAGTTTCTAAGCAGATTGCTTCATCAAGCCCTGTTAAAGGTGTGTTCCCATTTCCAGTCAGTTGATTGGCTCTGGGTGCATGTATTTGAAGGTCTCTTTAACACCCCATCAGCTGATCCCCCTTGAACTTTGACATACATGAGACCTGGTGATTGCTAGGTGGGCAGTCCTGCTCACCTGGCTAAGTTGGCCCATTGAAGGTGGGGAGACTGAGGGATGCAGCCTGATCCTGTTCTCTGCTCCAGCCATATGTCGAATCCAGTGTCTGATTCTCCTCTGCTTCCTCAAATCCTAAATTTAAAGAGACACATCCCATGTTTTCAGGATTGTTTTTCTGTTCGAGCTTCAAACTCCCAAATCTTCTCCCGCTTGTTACAGACAAAGAAAAAGAGGAATGCTTTCTTCTGCTGTATATCCAGTTCAGCATCCCATTTGCATTAATGCACATTCTGTTCCTGCATATAAATAATATCACTGCTTGAGAATGACTTTTGAAGTACATGGGCGAAACCAAATATTACCCTTGGCTTTTTTTTATTATCTCACACTGTAGTATGTGCAAGAATTATACGGCGAATCCCGGAGGCTAATGGGGAACCAGTTAGACAGGGACTGAGTGCTCCAGTTAAGCAAGCCAATTTTGAATGCTGCTGATGAAATCTCATAAATCCGCAACATGGATGCAAACTCTAGTAACCCTGGTATACTTAAGCATGGAGAAGTTGTTTTGCTCTCGGACTTTTGGGATATCTAGTACCTTTTGGAGGGGGGGACAATGCGCTGCAGACAGGCAGGAGTGGTGCCCACCTTGAGGTTTCTCACAGCGCATCTCTAGGATTACCAGTGGTTTGGAGAGTGTTTCCTCACTGCTCTATTTCTTCACAGATTTGTAGAGTTGGAAGGGACCCCCAGGGTCCTCTAGTCCAACCCTTTGCAATGCAGGGATCTCAACTAGAGCATATAACTTGTAGATTACTTGCCTTGCAGTTGTTTTGTAGCAGTGACATGCAAGAGAACAGTCATCCTATAGAAAAGTGTGTGAATCATTCAGCCCAGATGGCCCTTGTTCAACACTGTGCATGGAGTAACTTGGATGTATTAAGTCAGTCTGTTTTTTTTGGAGGGGGGGGTTGTTGCTTACAACTTCGGCCATCCTGAATTGATCGGTTTATGTCCTGACTGGCTACTCTTGTGTTGTCTTGTGCAGTTATTGTAGATGAAGCTTGCCTATTCTATACTTTGTAGCAGAAACTGGGATTTAGAGAGCTTTGCTTGAGGCCAAACAGGTACCTGATGCTGTTCTTAAGTATCTGTGTTTCCCAGGGCCCTGTCAAACTGCTCTGAAAGTCTTCCTTGACTTGGGAAGGGGTCTGCCTTTTTGTCTATAGCCATCCTCTTAAAGGTTTGTGGTCACATTTGTGTATTTGGGCGGGTGCTGAAGACACCACCCACTCTCGTCACTTCTTTCCCCTGGATTAGCGGCTCCCTACGCTGAGTGAGGAATCTGGGTAAATCCAGTAGAACTAATCTAAATTTTGGGCATCTGGTAGAGCTGAAAGAGGAAGTGGGAAAGTGTTCCTCTTCTAACTTGCTCCTTCAACTTTACATTCTTTTCAGGGGAGAAGAAGGTAACCACCCTCATGACCAAGCAGTCAGTGAGTGGTGGTGAGGCAGGGGTGGTGATCTCAGTGGCTTCGCAGGCATCAGCAGAAGACCTCCAGGGTGCTATTGTTTTCACAGTTGCCATGTTGGTGAGCCGAAGTTTACAGGGTAGATTGCTGTGGAATAAATGGCTTCAAAACTCATTCCCTGAGCCTGTTGTGCTGTTGCTGTCCTGGATGTGAGAGGTGATTAAAAAAATATGGGGCAGATTATTGACTCTCCTGAACTTTGGACTGCAGGTGGGAGATTAATTGATTGTGAATGCTGTACCATGTTTTGCAGAATTATTTGTTCCAAATGGAATGTGGATGGGTTCAGACTTGTCCTTTCTCTGACGTTCTAGCTTTTCATGGGCAGGGAGTCCATGCAACTCCACACCCTACAGTCTGCTTTGTTTTGCTTTTTCTGCATTCTTTAATTTGACTCCAGAGTAGCTATTTATATAGGACAACTCCATACTATTAGATTGAGCCCTGGCTGTGTATTTTTTTTCTATTTCTTTTCTATTCCATAGTTAGTCTTTTTCTTGAAAGAGGGGCAGTATTCAAAACTAGTCCTACACAGAGCAGACCAACTGACGTTAATGGGCCTGACTAACTTAGGTTTATTAATCTGAATAGCTCTATTCAAATTGAATAGTTGAATACAACAAACAAATTCTAGAACTTGGGGCCCCAGATGAGGCGGGGGATGAAAGGCTGCTCCTTGGATTATTACCCAGACTAGAGCCTCAATCAGTTCTTTCCTTTGCTCCATTTTAAAAATGAAAAGGTATATTTTGGGAAATGGAACTTGCTACTGTTGGTTTTTAATGTGAAGATGGAGAAATCTAATTGGGAAAAGTCTCGATCTCCATTGTCTTACTCTTTTATCAGCCCACCTGCACAAAACTGCTCTTGCATTTAGGCTTGCTGAAGTAAAAACTTCATTTTTTCAAGGTTACACTTGGACTTTAATGCCCAGATTTCATGAACTATCTAATCTGCTTTTGCAGCATTGGAAGTATTACCATGTGGTTTTCATATCATACAGTAAGTTCAAACTTAAGCACCACACTCTGTCCATTTCTTTGTAACATCAACAGGAAAATGCTGATTTCTACTTGCCCACCATTCCTTCATGTAGTGACTTTCTAATTCTGTATTGAGCAAAGCAGAGGAATGTTTGATTTGCATTTATTGTAATCTTAATGTTATTTGAGGTGGAGAAGCAGCAGCAAAGCCAGGCAGGAGAGAGCATATACAGTGATGGGCATACAGGAGTCTTGGTCCATTTAGATTATATCCTGAATACATTAATCCATATCCTGTTATTTCACATTGCTCAGTCACTACTGCCGGCTCACTAATGTGAACTAATTGCATTTGCTCTAGTAAAGCAGTTACACCCCCCCCCCCCCGAATATTTCTGCAATAGATATTAGCATTATCAGTTTGGTTGCATGAATGGAATTGCAGTGCATGATGTCAAAAGAAAAATATGATAGCACAACCTTCCAGTTTTAAAACAAATAAATAATAATAATTGACATTGTGTATTCTGTGCTTTAGCGGTCCTTGGCACGCACACATTGTAGAATCGTGGTGCTTTAGAATCACAGAACCATAGAAGAGTTGGAAGGGACCACGAGGTTCATCTAGTTTGTAAAGGGTTTGATGAATTCATCCAAAAAATTTGGGAGGGTGAGAAGAGCAAACAACTTGCTGAGGCCACTTCTTGGGTCTTTAAATTTACATTTGGGTTTCCCCTTTTGTTGTTTGTTCTAAATGGATGGACTGAAAAAGTAACGTCCTTTTGAGAATCTTTCCTTTGGGGAGACTGTGTGTGTTTAATTCCCACAATGGGGCTTGGTGCTGGCAACAAGCCACTGCGGCTGAAAGAAAAAACCTTTCCCCTTGAAAATCAAGTGCCTAGATGCTGTCCAGTCTCTGAACCTGAGAGAAGCAAAGGATAGGTCAAGGTATGGAGCTCATATCCTCCCAGATGATGATGGACTAGAATTCGCATAATCCCAGACCACTGGCTGTGCTGCCTGAGTGATGTCTGTCTTAACATCGCATCTCCAGCTCAACATTGTGATACCCCAATACTTCATGATGTCAGAAATAAGGATGTTACTATGTCAAGGTGAACGAGGTAATGTCCTGGAAACTGCTGCTACTTAGGTGTCTGAAACTGGTACATTTTTACTTACCTTTAACATATTGTGACTTTTTTTTATAGTACAGAGCAATAGGGGCAACAGGAATCATGAGAGAAGTGATGACCGGCCTCACAGTTTTCCCCATGTTATGATTTTTCCTCTGTGCCATTCATGTACTATAGACATCGCTGAGCTAGATGGATGAATGTCTGACTCGGTAGAAGGCAGCTTCCTATCTTCATATAGATGCATTTATTCACTACATTTTTCTCTTGCTACTACAGAGTGTGTCCTATTGATGAGGTCACCCAGTGTTGGTGCCTTGCAGTGCTTCACTGGAATCTTTGTCTCTCTTGGTGTCAGCATCTTACTTACATCAGCTGTGTAGCATTTGTAAGTTTCTGGATTGATGATAATAATAATAATTTATTATTTAGACCCCACCCATCTGGTTTTTTTCCCCCAGCCAGTCTGGGCGGCTTCCAACAAAAGATTAAAAATACAATAAAATATCAAACATTAAAAACTTCCCTAAACAGGGCTGCCTTCAGATGCCTTTTAAAAGTCAGATAGTTGTTTGCTGAGCATCTGTTATGCAAGTTCTTTCAACCTGACTGAAAACACATAGCAATTTCTGGAAGAAGACGACTCCCTATTTCTGGTGGGGTGTTTTAGAGAAGTCTTAGTGTCCCAGGAATCTTCAACTTCGGTTGGCGATTGACATTTTTTTCTTTGTGAACCTTCAGTACAGAAGTGGTAATTTCTGCGGTTTGTGTTACACTTTTCACAGTCAAGTCAGTTTATTGTGTTTTATTAGCAGACAGCCATTATATACATGAAAACAACAACAACAATAAAGATTTACATTTCTGCTCCTTAACGTTTAACGGATAGATAATTTCCCATACCCCCCTTTAAGTTTTAATAGCACAGATTTGTGGAGCCTTAGCAAGAAATTTAGATATTCTGAAGGATATATACTTCTCTACATTGGACAGCATAAAACCCCCAAGTTTTTGCTAGGGATTACTTTCCCTGCTGTGATCTTAACAATGGGTAAATATAGTTATATCTGTGTTCATTATGAAAAAGGGCATTCAAGGAACACATGAATTGCATCTTCTGTTGAGACAGAGTTGCAATGACAAATTCTGTCCTCCTTAGGAATTCCTTTGTGCTGGCCCATCCAATCTGTTAGTGGAAGGACTTTATAAAAGTTTAAAAATGCATTATTTTGTAGGGCTTTATATAAATAGCATCCTCTCTACGCATTGAAATGAGTTACTGCATATTTCACTCAGCTTATTTACTGGATTTGAATATTTTCTGTTTCGTTGAGAGGAAGGGTGGTAAAACACCTGCTTTAGAAAAGGTCACAAGTTCAGTCTTCATCTTTTCCAGGTAGGGCTGGCAGAAACTCCAGACTGCTGCTACCTGTCATCGTAGAAAATGCTGAGCTAAATGGACTGATGCTGTGTCTCAGGATAAAACAAAAATAGAGCCATTTCTGCCTATATTACTTAGCTTGATTGCTTTGTCTAAATTACTCACTGAGTGTACATGCATTGTGTGATGGCTGTTCTCTTCCTGGGAGTGGCTGAAGCAAGCTAGACCTCTTAAAGTAGTTTTGCACGGCACATCAAGATCTTTTGAGATTTAAAAACAGTTTTATGAATTCGTGATATTATTATTACTGCCCTGATCATATAGCGTGTCTATTAAGTATTTGAGCCTCACTCCAGAGTGCTTGTTAAGAAAGGTATAAATTAGTCTAAGAAATAATGATAGCTTTGCAAGTAGAAAGTATCACCTCCATTGCAGGAAAATCCTTATAATCTAAAAGGACAGGGGACAGATACTGCGTGGGGATCATGTCAAAACTGGGCTCATGCAGAGTGTTGCTTTGAATGTCCCTCTGAGCTAATGTCACTGAAAATTGAAATGCTGAAATTGAAAAGTGGCCTGTGCCTTGAAAAATAATAATATTTTCCACAAAATGCTTTCTGAAACTCGTCTTCCTTGTCTATTCATTTTGAAATATCATTGGCTTAGAATGAAGGAGAACTCCCTGTTTTTCTTCTGCAATGATGCACCACTTGTATTGAGTGCTGCCAATTGCCACCTTGCCTCAAGGTATCTGAGCACTCCATGCGTAGTATGGATGCAGAACTGTTTTGCTTGTGAAGCTGTGTCGTACTCTGGCTTTGCTCAAACATTTTTCTAGAGAGGGCGTTGCAGCTTCTGGACAATCTGCTGCTGTAAAGTCAGCCACTCAAAGAAAGCCGCTCGTTTCTTTGTCTAGGGGATAGAGAACTGCTGACAAAACTTGAATGCTGGCCAGCCGCCATTTTGAATCAAGATGGCAAACCAAAACATGACTTTGCCCAGTTTGGCCTGACGGCTACAAACAATCTGGGACTTTTTGCGGGCGCCAGGTCATTGTAGGGGCCGTAAGTTCAGCAATGAAGCAAATGTTTTCTCTCAGAAAGTTCTTTCCTTTTGTTGGGCTTCTAGTCCTTTTGTTGAGATTTCCAAACCTCCTTTATCCTTGAGGAATGTGAATGCATCATGTAATCCTTGTGTTGCTTTGGACTCCCAAGTAGGAATTGGAAAAAGCCTTCCAGACCACCAAAAGACTTTTCACCTACATGCCCGCACGTAACTGTGGTGAGTCACAGGGCAGCTGAAGAACTCCCTTACTGGGGCTCTGACTCACCTGTGAAAAACTGCAATGCTGTGGGCGAGTAGCTAATTCTCCACCTGCCTGAACTCTAAGTAATGGAGAGTGGCAGTGTGGGCTCTCTTCACCCACCCAGCTTGCCAGATTCCTCCTACCAAAGCTTGGGGCATGGATAGAGCTGGGGGGGGAAATCCCTGAGTCATTATTTAAGCATTGCTTGATCCCTCCATGTGCTGGAGTTGATATAGGCTCCAAATATATAGTTTTATTCTAGAACCCAGGAGATTTTCCCCCACCACAAGATCTGCATATGCAGGTGTGTGGATGGATGAAATCTTATACACCCTCTCTATCCGGCGATGAAAGTGGCTTACACGTTCCCCCCTGCAGTCCGTAGCATGCCTGTTCTTGTCCACTTCACCAGTGTCTCTTTGCCCCAGCTGCCAGTTTATCCCCAGGGGAACTCTTGTTGAGGATATGGCTAGTGGAATGTTTTGTGTGCAGAAGTTTCCAGGTTCAATCCCTAGCATTTCCAGGTAAGTTAGGAAACACTTTTGTCTGATACCCAGTCAGTCAGTTTATACCTAGGTGGAATCTACACACAAATAAAAGATGTTCTGAAAATGCTCCCCCGCCCTTAAAGAAAAGTGTTTTAAAAAATACATTGAATTTTCCATAAGGCTCGCCATCGCCATCTAGTGTCACATTGTATATTGCATTTAAAACACGCTTTAAATGTTTTATTTGCAGCTGTATAGCTGAATCCCTGGTATATCCAGTTACTTGGCCAAAAGCACCCAAGACCCAACCATTGAATACCATTTTAGCTCCAGCTAAAGCCATCGGCTTCTCCAGTTGTTTAATTTTTTTTATGGCTTTGCAGAGGGTCATCTGATTCGGGGGCAGAGATGGTGGAATCTGTGACCCTACAGAAGTCAACAGCTCCCATCAACCACAGCCAGGATGACCAAAGGCAGTATAAGAAATTCAAGTATATAAGCTAGGCACCAAATAGCTCCTTAAACCAAGGTTGCAGTCACCAAAATGGAATGCCTTGTTGTCACTTTTTGGTAAGACGGCGCTAAAGTCGTATTTTTCAGTTGATGGAGTGACTGATTCTCAGTTAAACATCTAGCTAGTTCAGATGACATCCTTGAACTAGGTTAAGAACTTTGAGAACTTAAAGAAGGAAAGTTTCTTGAACCAGGGGCAGCCCACATATATATTGGCCTATTCTGACCTCTTTTTCTTAGTGGTGACTGTTCCTGCTTAGGCTGCACTGAAAAAGCAATCTGGTTCCTGAAATTTATTCCGATTGTGCAGATAAAATATAACTGATAGACTTCTACAGGGTGTGGTATTAGTCTGTGAAAACAGTCCAGATCCAATGATCCTCAGATGGTGGAGATGTTTGGCACCATCCTGGTGGTCAGGCATCTTTGCTTGGTCAAAAGTGTTCAATACTTCATCTAGGTTGGAGGCTATCACAGTTTGTCGGGGGACCAGGTTCCATAGTTTAACTGTGTGCTGCACGAAAAAGCAATCTCTTTTATCTTTCCTGAACTTTCCATCATTCAGCTTCCTTGGATGTCCACAGGTTCTTGTATTATGAAGGAGGGAGAAAATCTTTTCTCTGGCCACTTTTTCCAAGAATATTCAGCCTTCTAGTCTACAAAAGCGAACAGAGATTGCAGCAGTGCGGGGGGCGGGACTCTACTTGCAAGTCAGATTTGGCCCCCCAGGCTTCCCTGTTTGGCCATGAGGCTGTTTTGGGCTGATGGGCACGGCCAAATGTCAGGTGTGGACACATAAAGACATTGCTGGGTTGAAAGGGGCTTTGCAGGCACAGCCTGATCGATACTTTCAGAGCTCCATGTACGGCATTTTGCAAACCGCACTGAGTACCGTACTTTTCGCACCATAGGGCGCACCGGACCATAGGGCGCACCCAGTTTTTAGGGAGGGAAATAAAGGAAAAAAATATTTCCCCCCCCCCAGCCCCAAAGAGCAGCGTACAGGTTGCACACAACCTCTCACTGCCTGAGGGGTTGCGCGCGGCTATGGCACAAGATCCCGCTCACTGCTTTGGCTTCCTCTTTAGCCCCACGCAATCTCTTCCTGCCGGGAGAGGCTGCGTGGAACTAAAGAAGCCATAGCCCCGTGCAGCCTCTCCCTGCCGGAGGGGTTGCACGCGGCTATGGCACAAGCCAAGGCAGGATGGATCCCGCTCGCTGCTTTGGCTTCCTCTTTAGCCCCACGCAATCTCTCCCTGCCGGGAGAGGCTGCGTGGAACTAAAGAAGCCATAGCCCCGTGCAGCCTCTCCTTGCCGGAGGGATTGCACGCAGCTATGGAACAAGCCAAGGCAGCGAGTGGGATGGATCGCGCTCGCTGCTTTGGCTTCCTCTTTAGCGTGGGGTTGCGCGTGGCTATGGCACAATCCTGCATTCACTCCATAGGACGCACACACATTTCCCCTCAATTTTTGGAGGGGAAAAACTGTGTCCAATAGAGTGAAAAATACGGTAGTTTGCAAAGCGACTTGCACTGAACTTTGTAAGCACCTGTGGTCCAGTTTCCCACCCTTAGGCCTATCACATATGGAACGGATCTTCTTCCTTGAACCATCAAAGCAAGTTATAGCATTAAGTCATTTTTTAGGGGGCGCAGAAAGAAAATAACCAGTGTAGTCCCATGGATTATGGGACAGGATGCTTCTGATGGGGGCTCAGCTGACTTGAGTACCTGAAATAAAATTGTTTTGGTTAGACATGATTCACATCCCCTCTCTTCTAGTGATCTAAGCTGTGTGAACTGTGGGCTAATAAGCCAGTGTTCTAGGAAGTTTGGCAGGCGGCTATGAAAATACTTCAGAGCACTCTGTTTCCTGATGTGGTGTAAGATGACAGATTTAGAAACCGCTTTTCATTTTTCTCTCTCCCCTTAAAACTAGGAAGGGGGGGAGTGTGTAGTTTTATAGAGCTGGATCCTCCTAAATACCTTTTATTTCTAAGCCAGAAAACTTCTCTCTTCCCACTCTAGAGGGTTTTTTTTATATTAAGAATAATTATAATCTTGAAAAGGCTCTTTACAGGAGACTGTTCTCAGTCCAAGAAATGTTCTAAAGGCTAAGAGCTCAAAGGAGCAATGTTTAATAATGTTTTGAAATATCTGCCCTTGGTTATGTCACTTTTTTGTAAACGGCCTGTGTTTTAAACATTTTTTAAAAAGAAAAGCCTCTCTTCATGAGAAGCTTTAGCAAGAGCCAACAGTCTAATACAGGCTCACATCACATCTTAATTCAGAAGTCTTTAATTTGATTGTGTCTTGTGTCCTTTTTTTACAACATTTTTTTTAAAGAACCACCACCAACAGTTTTGCTTGAGCATCTTCGGCTGGTCTTAGTTACAGGAAATTTAGAAAATTAATATAATGAAGTGTGCGCGCGCTTTTTTTAAAGAAGCAAACTTTCTGATAACGCTTGTGTAGCTCCGTGGCAGAAGATCTGCTTTCTATGCAGAAGGCCACTTTTTCAAACGCAGACATACCCAGGTAGGGCTGGGAATAATCTCTGTCTGAAATCCTGGAGCGCCAGTCAGCTTAGGGAATTCTACTGGCTCGATGGACCAATGGCAACTTCCTATCATGAGAAGAGCCTGCTGGATCAGGCCAATGGCCCATCCAGTCCAGCATTCTGTTCTTACAGCATCCAACCAGATGTCTCAGTGCAAAGCTAGCAAGTAGGACCAAAACACAAGAGCCCTCTCCCCTCCTGTGGTTTCCAGCAACTGGCATTCAGAAGCATTATTGCCTCTGACTATGGAGGGCAGAGCATAGCCATCGTGGCTAGTAGCCATTGATAGCCTTCCCTGCGAATTTGTCCAATCTTTTAAAGCAATCAAGGTTGGTGGCCATCAGTTATTCCTATGGGAGCGAGTTCCATAGTTCAACTGTGCATTGTGTGAAGAAGTATTTTCTTTTGCCTGGGCTGAATCTTCCAGCATTCAGCTTCAATGGATGTCCACGAGTTCTAGTATTATGAAGGAGGTTGCAAAACTTCTCTGTCCACTTTCTTCTCCATTCCATGCACAATTTTACAAATTTCTGCCATGTAATCTCTTGCTCGACTTTTCTCTGGACCAAAAGTTCCCAAGTACGGCACCCTTTCCTCATGGGGGAGATGCTATATCATACCCTTCCTTGATCATTTTGCTTGCTCTTTTCTGAACATTTTCAAACTTTTGCAACTTTCAAACTTTTTTGAGGTAAAAGGACCAGAACTATATACAGTGGTACTTCGGGTTACATACGCTTCAGGTTACATACGCTTCAGGTTACAGACTCCGCTAACCCAGAAATAGTGCTTCAGGTTAAGAACTTTGCTTCAGGATGAGAACAGAAATCGTGTTCCGGCGGCGTGGCAGCAGCAGGAGGCCCCATTAGCTAAAGTGGTGCTTCAGGTTAAGAACAGTTTCAGGTTAAGAATGGACCTCCGGAACGAATTAAGTACTTAACCCGAGGTACCACTGTACAATACAGCTTTGGTAAGTTTGAGCTGTTCTTTGCCACTCTCTTCCTCTGCACTCCCCCCCCCCCCAAAAAAAAAAAGAATAGAGAAGACTTGTTTGCGGGGCAGAAGATGAGTTGACCAAGTCATAAAAATATGCAAGTTGAAGGTCTGGAGGGAGAAGCAAGAGGTTATTTGTGTGAATATAGCTGAGGGGATAGCTCAGTTGGTAGAGCATGAGTTTCTTAATCTCAAGGCCATGGGTTTGAGCCCCACGTTGGGTGAAATATTCCTGCATTGCCTCATGGTCCCTTCCAATTTGATGAGTCTTAACATTCTAACCAGAGACACCATTTAAATCTAGGGCTGCCTGTGTGGCCTCTGCAGGTAGCTTTGTTGCCCTTGAGGCTTCCCCTGGCATTCTCCCTCCTTGGTCATAAGGTAATGAGGACGTTTACCTTTCTCTGCCTTGAAAAATATATAGAGCAGCTAAAGGAAGTTGGGAGAGTGACTCTCTTTCCCACTTCCCCTTTCAGCATGTGGACACAGGTTAATTCTGCAAGCTCTGACGTCTACCCAAATCTGTAGGAAAAGCCAAGTGTGGGTGCCTGGTCTCCATGTGGGGATGTAGGGTGGTCCATCACAGGTTCAAACCAGGCCTCATTCTCCCCACTTTAACTTAGAAGAGGAGCATAGGAGGCTATCCTCTGTACGTGTGAGAGAACCTGGATCCCTTTCCCCTTAACTGTTTCCTCTGCGAGATCAGGAGAAGGAGATGCTTCCCTGTTACCTGGGCAACAAAAGGGCTCGATAAATATTTTTGCACAGTCCGGTCTCGTGCGACGGCATTCTTAAGATAGGGAGTTTCTTTTGGCTCCTCTGTTTTTTCCTGGTTTGAAGTCTTGCCCTCGGTATGCTGGGAGGCTGTTTCATCAACACACAGTGTAATCTCAGAATCGAAAGTTGTCAGCACCTAAAGTCACAGGGCCCTCTGTGCTGCGCATTCCTTTCTGGTACACAGTGGATCTGTGCTGGGGGGTGGGAAAAGGGCACAGGACCTATACAGAGGGGTCTGTTAGCTCAGGATGGAATGTTGGGCTATTTAGAGTTGTTGAAAGACTGGGGATCTTAATAGGTTGGAAAGCACCTGCTAGTCACTTGATAGGGGATCATTACTTGGTCACTTACCTGTCTGCTCTTCACCATGGTCCTTTTTGGGGGGGCTGCCTGCCTCTGGATATCTCTCTCCCTGCCCCATCTCCTTTCTTGCAATGCATTGCCCACTGTTGGGCAGATGGGCAAAATTACAGTGGTACCTCGCAAGACGAATGCCTCTCAAGACGAAAAACTTGCAAGACGAAAGAGTTTTTCGTTTTTTGAGTTGCTTCACGAGACGAATTTCCCTATGGGCTTGCTTTGCAAGACGGAAACGACTTGACTTCGGGGAGCAACTCATAGCACGTGCTGTGGTAGCCTTTTTTGAGGTTTTTGAAGATTTTTTTGAAAAAATTGAAACCGTGCTTTGCAAGACGAAAAAACTCGCAAGATGAAAAAACTCGCAGAACGAATTAATTTCGTCTTGCGAGGCACCACTGTACAGAAAGCGATATGGTGCTGTTTGTTTTTCGTTCATTAGATTTATACCCTATATTTTCTCCAAGGGGAGTGCAACGTGGTCCTCATTTTTATCTTCACAACAACCTTGTGAGGGAGGGTTCAGTTGAGAGGCTGTGATTGGCCCAAGGTCACCCAGTGAGCTTTGTGGCTGAATTGGGGATTTGCACCGTTGCCGTCCAAAGTCCATCACTTGTAACTGCTACGCTGCAGAGGCTATTAAGACTCTTAATATGCTTGCTAAATTTGACAGTGATGCCCACCTCCAGTGCAGTGATACAGAATTCCGCCTAACTGGTTGTTTTAACCTCATGCTTTTCTTCTACTTTTAATGTAACTTATTTCTCCCCCCTTCCCCCTCACCCCATTTATGTACAGTCATACCTCGGGGTGAATACGCTTCGGGTTAGGCATTTTCGGGTTGCGCTCCGCGGCGACCCGGAAGTAACATAGCGTGTTACTTCTGGGTTCCGCCGCGCGCACATGCGCAGACCGTCAAAATGACGTCATGCACAGAAGCGCCGAAATGTGGCACGCACGGACACGAGTTACGTTCGCTTCGGGTTGCGAACGGGGCTCCAGAATGGATCCCGTTCGCATCCCGAGGTACCACTGTATTTGGGTGGTTGAGTATTATAGTGAAAGCATGCTCTTTGTGAGATTTTCTTTTTTAATGGAGAGGTGTAGAATATCAACCCACCCACCCCATTTCACTGTGTGTCATTGTTCTGAGTCAGATTTAGGATTTATAGGAGCAGAGCAACAACAGCAACCACTCCCTTCAACAGCAAACATTCCTCTGCATCCACAGTGATTGAAACCTTAAATTCAGAGGTAGATTCATATAGTAGACCCATGATCTTTGGGTAGGCCTCTGCATTATTTGAAGTAGATCAGCAAGGATTTCCAACTTGGTAGTTGCCCTCCCCCGCCCCGCCCCGCAGCCTCCAAGATACACTGCTGAAATGAATATTACTTAGCGAAGCAATAACCAGAAGTTAATTTTTGTGTGAAAGGACTATGCATTCCCTTCAGTTCTGGCACTCAAATTCCTGGTCTCAGAATTATAGCATTTAAATGTATGTCTTTGGTACTTACATCCCAGTTAATGGATCGTTGAGTTCTAGTAAAAAAACACAAAAGCAGATTCAACAAGTCTGAACTCCACCCTCCCCAGATCTAGTCAACCTAATGCAGAGACATGCCAAAATCACCTTCTTGCCAGGCCGATTGGAAAGAGGTCAGGTCAGTGCAGTGAATCGTGCAGAAAGGCGGCAGGCAGCCCTTTCTGTGGGTGGGGACGTTTGGCTCGTGGGAGCTTCTGCTTATTTAATTCTCTTGCTAGAAATAACATCCATCTCGTGGCATTTTTGTGTGATCTTTGGGGCTAAAATGCCATCCCTGTGCTTGTTGATGGTGGAGCGATTATTGGGATCCTTAATTGTCCTGTGCAAGCCTTCTTGCTTGGAGACCATTTTTATTTTTATTTTTTAAAAATACCCTTTTAGTTGAAGAATTCATGTCTCTCTCTGCTCCCTCCCCAAATTTTGCTGCCTTTGTTCAAAAGCATGCTCAGAGAGGCGGCTGCGCCTCTGCAGTGTTTTGTGTGTGTGCAGACATGTGCTGTGTGTGTGTGTGTGTGTGTGTGTGTGTGCGCATCCATACACTCTGTGGCACAGCTGCAGCACTGCCGGCAGCCAGACACCCAAACAAAAGAGGCAGCGGTAGCCTGGCTGATAGCAGTAAACAGAAAGGTGATGTGCTCATGGCTTCTGAGCCAAGCTTACTGTAATTTCAGGTCACCCTGCCATTTATCTTAAGTAAACAGGAGCTGCTCTGCAGCTGCATCACATACCTGGGAGGGATTTAAACTAGCTGCTTTCCCTATAAAGTGTGCAATGATGAAAAGTGGGAGGGGAACCCTCTGGGTCACCTGTTTTGTGTTGTAGGTTAGCTGGGCAACTGTATTCTATCAAGTTGTGTTTTAATTTTAAAGAGAGGGAGAGAGGGCGTGTTTTCTAGCTTTTACCTTTTCATGGATCTCTCATATGTTCTGGTACCTGCTGGTGTATCTCCTTTGTGTGAAGAATCATAGAATTATAGAGTTGGAAGGGACACTGAGGATCATCTAGTCCAATCCCCTGCAATGCAGGAATATGCAGCTGTCCCATACGGGGATCGAACTGTGACGCGGTGACCTCTTCCCTCTTTCCTTTCCCTGAAACCTTTTTCCACTTGCAGATAACACATTCTTGCCTTCTGTTAATGTGTAACTTCAACTCTTTCTCACCCTGCCCAGGCCTTACTCCCCTTTGCAGCCCCCTCCCCTCAAATGCCTTTCCATATAACAAGGCCTCTGCCTCCCACTTGTTGGCTTGTGTTTACTCTCTCATAGAGGCCAAAGGATCCTAGCATTTCAGATACTGAGCAACCTGTACCCTCTGGCACACGAAGCTGTCGTTCCCCCTCCTCCCCAACCCGGACAGGTAAAGGTAAAGGGACCCCTGACCATTAGGTCCAGTCGTGACCGACTCTGGGGTTGCAGCGCTCATCTCGCTTTATTGGCCGAGGGAGCCGGCGTACAGCTTCCGGGTCATGTGGCCAGCATGACTAAGCCGATTCTGGCGAACCAGAGCAGCGCACAGAAACGCCGTTTACCTTCCCGCCGGAGTGGTACCTATTTATCTACTTTCACTTTGGCATGCTTTCGAACTGCTAGGTTGGCTGGAGCTGGGACCGAACAACGGGAGCTCACCCCGTCACGTGGATTCGAACCGCCAACCTTCTGATCGGCAAGTCCTAGGCTCTGTGGTTTAACCCACAGCGCCACCCGCGTCCCCAACCTGGACAGGTACAGAAGGTCTAAATTGATCTAGGGCAGGGGTTTCCCAAACTTGGGTCTCCAGTTGTTTTTGTGACTACAATTCCCATCATCCTTGATCACTGGTCCTGCTAGCTAGGGATGGTGGGAGTTGTAGTCCAAAAACAGCTGGAGTCCCAAATTCGGGATACTCAGATTTAGGGTAAGGCATAAAGGAAGCTGCCTTTCACTGAATTGGACCAGCTCTATCTAGCTCAGCATTGCCAACACTGATTGGCAGCTCCTCAAGGTTTTAGGCCAGAGTCTTTTCCCAGCTGCGTGCAGGACAGGAGCTTGCTTTTGTGCTCAGGTCCTGCTTGTGGGTTTCCCGTATGCATCTGTGAACGGGATGCTAGACTAGGTGGGCCATTGGCTTGATCCAGAAAGCTGTTCATGTGTTCTTCAGCTGAGAGTGGCTTAAGGTCACCCAGGGAGCTTTATGGAACGCTGTGGGTTCTGCACCATCACTAATAATACATTCGCCATAAAGAATCCAACCTGCACTTTGGTTAGTTTCCAAAGCTCTCGGACTGAGACCCCTGTTGCTGGCTGGAAAACAAAGAGTAGCAAAAGGACCTCCCTTTTCTGGCACTTTAATTTTTCTCTATCTTAATGAGGTGTTAAGGTTAGTTTACATTTTGATAAATATAATTACTGCTTGCTGTGGCTCTGTGCCCAAGTGGGGCTGAAAAACAGACCACATTCAGTGAATATGACATTTATCTAATGGCATGATAATGGTCTTTTATAAGTGTTAACAGGTTTTTCTCTTCCCTCCCCACTGCCCCCCCCCCCCAGTTGTAATAAGTAGTGCT